AAATCGTGGTGTATAGGCTTTTGAATTTGTTGTGTAATATGGTGGGTGGTAAATCTGGTAATGTATAATCTAACGTATACATTAGTAGTTTGAGTATGCCCTTTTGTAATAGCATCCTCTATTTGTAAATTACATTTGTAATTGCAGGCAAAGTGTGTTGGACAAAGGGCTGACATTTACAAGATCGACAGAACAAAAGGCCGTTATGGAATAAAGCCCCCCCCCCCCCCATAAAATACCACACAATCTTTACATATGCTGGGGTATAAAAATAGGTCTTGTCTACGGGATACGGATAAAAGGTTAAATCCGTGTTAGCCTACAGCCAGTTGGTAATAAATTAATATGATAATCATTATTACATTTGAACAAAAAAGACCTGATTGATGTGATTTTGGTAACACGTGTTTTTATTTTTAACTAGCACAGTTTGTACGAATTACAGTTCACTTCTTTTCAGAGTTTTCTTCGAGACATCTCTTCGGGGTCCCATAAAATATACTTTTACCAGTGTCCGCCCCCCCCCCCCCCCCCCCCCAGGAAATTTTATTAGTCCGCCTTTCCCGAAAATTTCAAGTGCCCCCCCCCCCTCCACGGAGGAAAAAATCTGGAAGAAACACTCTTTTTTGTTCGTGTTATTTCATTATTTAAATTGTGAATACCGTTCTTCGTTTATTTATTTATTAACAGTCCGCGTTGCCATGTCTTACAAATTAAATAATTCATTATTTATACCTATAACTAGCTTGTAACAATTTTAGAGAAGCAGCTATAACGTGTTTTTTTTCCCAAAATCAAAGTACCAATAATTGAGATTTTCCCCGAAACAACAATTTCTTCATAAAACCAAATTAGTGCATAGATCTACATGGATCAATTTTAATTTAACATTAGTATTTTTAAAAATACTTAAAATGAAAAATGATTGCGAGATAACTGCTTAAATTCTTTTTAATACATTTTTTAAAAAAATTCATAGCCATTACGACAAACTAGTGTAACCATTCTCTTCCAATTCAGCTTTGTCACTTAAGTTCAAACTCCCCCCCCCCCCCCCCCCCAGCTGCTGGGATGTGATGTCATTTATTGACGATCGAAAATCATAAATGGCCGAAATAAGACATTTTGTGTTTGATTTGAGCCACCCAGATCCCTGTATCATCTCGTATTTATCATTTTCTAAATAGCCTAGTTCATAACCATATTTTAATGAATATTTCTAAAAACAGCATCATTGATCCTTAAGAAACAAAGCATTGTTTGAAGTGTTTTAACCAAAAGATTAATAGAGTTGTAGCTTTTAAAATACATTTGCAAAAAATGAAAAAATATTTTGTAGAATGAAAGGCTCTTTTCATAACAAACTTAGTGTAGTCTGCTTAAATATATATTTTAAGTGATAGTATTGAGTCGTTACTAAGTGTTTATTTGTAAACAATATGGCGCAAGGTCGGCCATTAAGTCGCCATGGTAGATACGATGCCAGTTTTGAAACTCCGTTTGGGGATAGTGAAAACGACGGTGCATATTTTCAGTTTCTGTTCTGTGCATAATTTGTGCTTTTAATGCAACTCTTAATTGCGTAAGCTTGTGCAGGCTAGCTTTTAAAAACTTAAATAAAATATTTTAAGTGTTAGTTAAAAATAAAAGGGTTGTAGAATTTCGATCTAGACTAGACTAGATCAGTAGATCTACTACTAGATTCTAGATCTAGATCTAGATCTGGATTCTAGTCTCCAGTCTAGATTTAACAAAAAGAAGACTTAGAAGATCTATCAATCAATCAATTCAAATATCAAGTTTTTAGTTTATCAAGTAAAACTTTACTTTTAGTAAAAACAAACTTTCTAAAAATTTGAAGATTTTTTACTTTTTTTAGTTTAGCAGCTTTAAAATGTAAAATGTTAAAATTAATTAATTAAAATTTATCAGGCCTAATAAAATATTTAAATGTGATTAGGCCTCTCTAGTTACCTAGTATAAATTGAGTGTTTATGCAACCTTCTTACATTTCACCATCCATAGTTTCTTTCCATGCGTGGTTCCCCCCCCCCCCCCCCCCCCAAATAAAAAAAAAAAAAGAAATTACATCATTATTCACCATTCATGCTCAAGACACATGGGGCAATATGAAGTAGAGTTCATTTGCTTCAGCACTATGCCCAGCCGCCTTTTTTTCCCTAACATGAGTTATGTACCCATCAGAGCTGGGTGAACTCAGGGACACTCTATATACTGACTTGAACCTTAATTCGAACTCGAGACTTTGGGTTAGCAGTCTAGCTCTCTACCACTAGGCCACACCATTCCACAATTAAATTAAATTAAAAAATCTGTATTTTATTTAGTAACCTTATATATTTTAACCAATATCCACCCCCGCAAGTTTAAGTGCACTATCCTCCCCCCCCCCCCTTCTCCTGGAGAAAAATGTCCAAAAGAAGCACTGTTACAGTCTTATAATTTATAAAAATTTTGAATCTTACATTGTAGGCTCTACCCCCACTCGAAAAAAAAAAAGTAAACATGCTGATTATAACTAGAATTGCAGTTAGTGTTGGGATATGAAATGGAGCAGGATTTCCTTCTTTTTGTGATATTAAGGAGGGGGGGGGGAGAGGGTTAAGCATAACATATTTTCAGCAATTCTTACACACTTCAATGCCAGTTTCAACAGCCTGCTTGGCTTAAAACATTTTAAGTCCAGCCCCCAGCATGATTTCTTTTTTAGATACAAATTTTAATTTTTCAAAATTTATACTTATTGTTTAAAAAGAAAAGTATAGGCCTAAATATTGTAAAATTAAAATTTTCATCTAAAAAGAGTAATCCTGCAGGAGGCTGGACTTATAATATTTAATAACACATTTTTACTTAATGTTTTGTTAATTTTAATAATGATTACAGACTTTCAACATATTACAAACCTGTCATTAAGACCAAAAAGTGGACTAAAAACACGGGGAATAATATCTGAGTACGATCAGTATGCAAGAGTGAAAGATTCAAACAGCAATTCCATACCACATTACAGCAGTATTCAGTAAGAGCTTAATAGCTGATTGGATAGTTTTTTCACAGTAAACTTATTAACTAATAGTCCAGGTGTTCTTATGCACTGTGTGCTCATCAATAATAAATGTGTGTGTTGCAGGTATAAAACTGGTGGATATTTAAACACACATGACTCATCTTATGTTGGAGATGTTAACCAAAACTCTATAGTCATGCAGCCAAGACCTCCAAGCTCAACAGGTCGACCTTCATCCACTGGTAGACCTTTGAGTACTTCCACTAGAGCCAAGTCTGCTAAAAAGTCTCAGGAACTTAATGAATCTGTTTCCCCAGGTCTGAGAAAATATATGCATATTAAATAACACCATTAATTTCCCCAAGTCTGACAAAAGATATACAAAGAAAAAAAAAATTTTGGCCCCAGGTCTTTCTAAAGACATGCACATAAACTAAAACAATTTCCTCACAGGTGTCACAAAATAGATAACTAAGATTCAACAAGAATATATATTTTTATTTTTTCATCACAAACAAGAAAAAAACAAAACACCAAATCCTATCAGTTGAAGTTTAGAATAAAAAGCTTGTTTTAGATATTTGAATGATCTTGGTCAACTAAACCAACATGGTTTTTCTCCCTCAGTTCTACCTGAACACCAAAGGCCTTCATCGGTGTTATCCAAATATCCCCTGTTGCCAGCCATAGGCAGCCCTACTCAGGATCTTGACGACTCCACTTCCAGCAGTTATAGTGGTAGAGATCACCAAAGAAAGCCTCCACACAACTTCCACAAACATACAGTTCACAGCAGCTCAAGCTCTGAGAGTAGGGAAACCAATGCAGTCCCTTCATGTGAACGGCATAGTGAGCTAGAGGTGACAGACATTATTGAGAGACTAGATCTCTCACAGCTGGATAAACATGATGCAGAAAAAGGCAGAAGGAAAAAAAGTTTGTCAGGTTCTAGTCCATCTCAAGCCAAGCACAAAAATCAGACTCAATCCAAGTTGAAATCCAAAGCGGGGGAGGTATATGATGCTGATGATGATGATTCAGACACACCAGTCTCTCAGAGAGCCGTCTCTTCAAGACTTTTGAAAGCACACATGAAAAAGCCAGTCATCATACCTTCACCTGATTGTGACTCTAGCAAAGAACTGCTTCTGGCCATTAAACTGCCTGTTTCTGGGAAGAGGCATCAGAAAATCTTCAACGGTAGTGAAACATTACAAGCTATTATAGACTTTGCTGAAGCAGTGTCTGGAGAAGATTTTAGTGGTTATATTCTAGTGTCTAGTGCACCAAAACACACTTACAGAGATTTGAGTGAAACTATAGAGAGTGTAGGGCTAGAGGATAAATCAGTTTTACATTTAGAACAAGTTGATTAAAACTGTCATGAAGTGTTATGGAAAAAAGCTATAAAAAATCTGTGACATTGCAGGAAAAATAGGACTATCACATAATGTAAAGTTGGAGTCTTTTGTAGTTTGTTGATGGCTCATCTGAACACTCCCCCTCAACTTTATCAAACAACAAAACTAAAAAAAAATAAACATTTTCAGCGTGGGAACAAAAATGTGATATATTTTTTATTATGAAGACCTTGAAAATGTAGTGTTGATGTTTCATACATCTGCACATCTCATTAACTGCTGAATACTGTGCTCACTTAAATACTAAATGTTTTATCCTAAGCTGGTTATAAACTTGTTCTCGATGTTATTTAACTGCTGTATTTATTACTGTAAATATATATATATTTTTTACCAAATTTTACCATGCCAAAGCAGTGCTAGCTTTTGTAATACTGAATATTTTCAAGTTTTATTCAAAGTTTTAAATCTCCTTTGTGCTGCTCTGAAGTGTAAACTAACATAATTCTGACCTAAGCACTCATTTAAATTTCAGTGTGATTGACTATTAATTCACTTATCAATAAAAGCCAAATTTAAACTATGAAATTTGGCCATCAAGAACTAGTATATATATGTTTTGAGTTAAGGCATATCCATAAAGATGAAAAAAGAGTTAAAAATTATTTTAATTATTCTGAATTTCGTACTTTACAAGAAATGTGTAAAAATGTTATTGTCAAATATTTTATTTAACATTCACTACCATTTTGGAATTATATGGCAATGAAAAGGTAAGAAATTTGAAAACTGATTATCTAAATTTGTTCTACTATAACTAAATGATTTCGTAAAGATTTCGACTTGTTAACTTATTCACTAGTGTTGGTTGTTCTGGTAAATTTTGTTGTATTTTAAACATTCCAGATAATAAAGATAAGCAAATTGTTTGTCTTGCGCCCATCTTTTTTAAAATTGTGAAAATATCAATTAATGGAACATGGATTTTTTGTTTTTTAACTATTTTTAAAGCACTAACGCCCATAACACACACAAAATTACTAATGATCTGTAAATAAAAGAACTTGACACCAAATAAAATAATCTATGTACTTATGAATTATTAGAAATGTCAACAATTTATCCATTTATTTAATGTTTACTATAAATTAGGCTAAATATTGTCTTATTGCACCAAGAATCTCCATCCTTAAACTGATTTTCTTTCTTTCTTTTTAATAAAAATACTGAGCCTATTAGTATTACTATACAAGTACATAAAAAGTCAACTCAAAAGTATTTTAAAAATAGTTATGTACTTTTATTAATGAAAATACAATGATACATAAAAATGACATATGATACAAATGACTATGCTAATGGATGAACATGACTGCAAACTAGACTTGTGACAATATGCTGAGGTGGTGCAGTAATCAATTACCATCTTGTGGGCACAAATGTACATTGAAAATATAACACTGTAAAAACCTTGCATACCCAGCCCAATCATTCAGCTGACTCAGGGCTGTGGGGTTTGTTTTTTTTGTACACTCTATTTAAAATACTCAACAAAATATGAAATGCTGCCTGCCCTCAAATCACTTTTTACACAAGGGCACAAGTTTTCACCAGGGGCAGAGTGACCCCAGGTCAAAACTTCTGACCTTGAATGAGAGACAATACTGACAAACTCCAGCAAAGCTGAGTAACATGAAAACAATAGAAATGAAGTTAACAAGCTTAAAAAAGTGTAACAAAATAATTTTCCTCCCCACCAACAAACCAGCAGACTAAGTAGAAACCAACACTTGTCAACAGAACAAAAGGCCATGGTGTGTGTCATTTAAGGCTACGACAGCTTTTAAAATTTTGAACACAAGTTAGTATTATCTCTCATCAAAAAAGCATGAAGTAAACAATAATCACATGATATGATTCAGATAAAAAATGCAAGCACTGCACTTGTAAAGGTAACAAACCAACACATGAGCAGTAGAAATGTTTTCTTTATACATAGTATGACTTTCTATCAATAATTGTTACAGTAAAAACAATAAAAAGTAACAAATGAAATTTTTAAAAAGTAAAGTAACAAAAAGTGGTCTTTTTATATTTAGCAAAAAACTGAAGGCAGCCAGGTCAAAATCAACATCACTAAAAATTGCCTATAAATAGATTTATGAAAAAATTTATGAGAGATCTAGTTTTGTAGAAAGCCTGACAGACAAATTACAGTAAAACTAGAGTACTTTTCTCATAATCAAAATACTGACAATCTAACAGGTAATTTTAAAAAGCTACCAAACTGACTTAAAAAAATGGATTTAGTCAGTAAATGTAAATCATGACATGAGTCAAAAAAAAAAAAATGCACAAAGCTTGAGATTGCTTATCCCAAAACATGCCATTAACTCTGAGTGGTTCTTGGATGCTGCAGTCTAACAAATAAAAGACAGGCAAATTAAGTAAATTTTAAAATTACTTAGCACTAAACGAGAATTTTATTTATGCTTAAAAAGAGGTTTATGATTGATCTCCATACCAGACAAAAATATACCAATTATATAATATGTACTCATAATCATACAAATAAACTATTTATGGTATGTTCAAACATTTCAAAATCCATTTGTAAACAATATCAATTTTAACATCTTGCAGTATACCACCACTAACAAAAACATGTATAACAGTTCTAAAATTATACAAATCAGGAACAAACTTTTACATAAACTAATGGCACACTATATTCAGATACAACAATTTCTTACAGTAGAAAGAAATTGTGTTTGTTCAATTAATTATTGCAATATTAAGAGCTGCTAAGTAAGGGTATTATGCAAACAATCTGAGATTTTAGTAGCTTTTAAGAAGTTATGCAACATTTCGTTTGTAATTTTTTTAAAAACACCACCATTTACATAAACTTGTGTATAATTTTAATGAGATCAATTAACTTCTATTACAACCAAACAATTACATCTCAAATGATTCACACATCTACAGAAATAATTTAACAGCACAACAATACTCTGTCGCAGAGGAATAAAACAAAACAACCAAGTTGAAATTTTCTTATTCCAGTATCAGGAATTATTTAACAACTATGATAAAAATGCTCCAGGATTCAAATAATTAAATAAAAGGTAAAAAAAAAAAAACAACAACTGAAATTGCAATTATTTTACTTTACTTTAAGTACAGTTCTGAATTATAATAGAAGCTACTTTTTTTTCCCTCAGTGTATTTCATAAAAGAAAAAACAAAAAAGTGTATGATTCAAAGATCAAGATTAACAGCTATTACTTTTTATAAAATGAGACCACTATTATTAACATAATTTACAATCTTATTTTCAAAGATGGCTGTGAGAAATATAAAAAACAGTATGTACATATGATTACTATAAATTCTGTCTCAACGTGTTAGCAGCAAAATTTCCACTTTAAAAAATGACACTTTTTTTTCTACAACAATTCAATCATTATGACATATTTCCCAGGTATTTTTAACCATCTTCCCTGTAACATATGGCTAGCATGTATACTTAACCAATGAGGCTAAAAAGAAAGTCTTTGCAGGCTAACTATAGATAATCCAGCTCTAGGAGCCTGGAGTATAAACAGGCAGCTTATCAATGGCTTTCTGCTCCTCCTCCGAGTCACACCTGGCTATCAGCAATGTATGTGAGAACCCACAGGACACATGGTGTACATAAATACCTTCAATTGGCTTCATCTCTTTGGGAACTGTAGATGATTTTATTCCACCTTCTCCATATCCCTGTAACACACCAAGTTAACATCTCTAGTTGAAATTAACCTTATGCAGCATATTTGTAAAAAAAGACTACTTAGATGACAAAATTTCAAGAAAAAATACTGACTTTGAAAATATACATAATGGTTAAAGCAGATACTACTTTACATTAAAGTGAAAAGTAAAAATGAAATAAGCATGTCAATCTTAAAGAACTTACCAACTCCCCGAAACATGGTGAAGGACCCCAACTGACAACACTTTCATCAGCTGCCAGGACTATGCTCTTGTTGCTGTTGAATAGTAAAAGTAAAACAAGACCTCACTCATTTGTTTGATTGGTATGTTCACATAAATGTCTACTTTGATATCAAATCATCAAGCTTGTAAAAACTACTGAAACCCAACAATACCTAGTCCCAATGCTCCTGATCTTCCAGCCACAGAGGTCTTGAACCAGCTTAGGATACATATTGGCCTCTCCTGAAGTTTTTGTTTGACCCCAGAAAAATAGAGCACCTGCAAAACATCAGGAAATTAAATAAATTCTAAAAACTTTGGTGAAATTAATGCATTGATGAATGTCAACCATTTTTCATAGATTACACAATCTGGTAAATATGATTGATCTAAGTCATTTGGGGACCAATATACCTATGTAAGGGGAGAGCCCAGCAAGTTGAATTTTTCAGTATAAATAGCAGGCAGTTTTTTTTAAAAAGATTGTACTATAGCTCTCTTACTGATTAATTTCAAATACTATTTAAAGGGATTAGCTGTGCATTAGAAGTTAATAAAGCTAGCTTATAAATGAGTAAGTATGATACCAATTTTTAAAAATGTCTTCCAAATGCTACAAACCATGTTCATTAACAGCAAGTGAGTACGTAGAACCAGCAGCAATCATCTGAGCACCACGATTTGGACCTTCAAAATATTTTAACAGTCTTGGAACCATTTCATCTTTAGGATCAGAGTGACCAAGTCTACCATAGCCACCAAATCCCCAAGAAAACACCCTCTTTTTACTATCTGTGATTAGCTATTAAAAGTCAAAACAAAAAAGTTTAATTTAAAACAATGAATGCAGAATTATTCCACATAAAAAAGAACTTTATACATATAAATATTTAACTAGAAAGTAAAATAAAATTACACTTAACAAATTAACACTTATTATAAAAATTGCAGCTTTCAACTATGCACCACTTACAACATGATTAGCACCGCAGGCAATCTCCCTGACATCAACATCAGTGACAGGGGACACCTGCCCATCTCTCTGTTTCTCAACAAACACAGTGATCACCCTTGGCACATTCTCACACTGGAATTCTATTTTGTTGCTCTTGACAAAGTATTTGCCATCACTGTTATGTCCTAAAATTTCACAAATTTATAAACAGGTTTGGTATTCCACAAGTGAAGATCATCAGGTGAAGTTAACCCAAGTTTTTTAAATGTACTTAAAAACCAAATTATAAGATAAATATTCGTATTGCTGAAATGTATGATATGTAACCTGATAATTTCTCCTGTTACCTTTCATAAAATTTTAAACAAAGTTAATGCAATGCTTTAAAGAAAGAAAGTTTACCTAATTTCAGTACATTTATAAGCTTTTTGATATGAAGGCTTTTTTAATGAAAGTAAAGGAAAAGTGACATCCTCATGTGTCTTGGGCACAAAAGCAAGAAGAAAATGAAGAGCAGTTTTAAAAAAAACAAGAGTATGTAGAGATAAAGATCAATGTTAAAATGGGAAATTTAAAAACAGCCATGAACAACTTGTTGATTTATTTTTTTTCTTCTTCAAATGTTTTCACTATCAAAAACTTTTCCTAACCAAAATCTGTGAACCCCAGACAATCCTGACCTGACATTTTTGTGGGAATCCTGTATAAAGTAGCAACATATGTCAAACAAATTACACAAGAAGTAAAAACCTTACTTACCAAGCTGACCATATTCAGGACATCCAAAACTGTAAACATTGCCATTTATATCAGAGATGACACTAAAATCTCCCCCGCAAGACACTCTTCTAACAGGTGGACCCTTGTAGCGTATAAGTGCTGGAGTTAAGACCTGCTCACTTTGGTTTCCAAGACCCAACTGTCCCATCTTATTCTCCCCACAAGCATAGACCTTTCCCCTCTCTGAAAGTTTCATAATAAATTTATAAACAATACATAAATAAGGAAGCAAATTTAATATCTCTCAGAGAATTATGAATCAAACAGCAAACTTTTATAACAAAATATAGCACACACCTGTCAAGAAAAGAGTGTGTTTGCGGCCACATGCAGCATCCACAATGTTTCGTCCTTCAAAAAAGGTGACTAGTTGAGGTATGTCTTGTCGCTCAACATTTCCCAAACCCAACTGGCCCTTTTCATTACGACCTATAGAAGATTGTTTAAAAACATACAAGATCATAATAGCCAAGTAATCACCATACATATGGGTCAGTGTGGCCTAGCAGTAGAGATCTAGACCACTAGCCCAAAACTTTCAAGTTCGAATCCGGGTTCAAGTCAGTAGAATGTCACTAAGTCCACCCAGCTCTAATAGGTACCTAAAACAAAGACAGCTGGGCATATTACTGACCACACTATCCTTTTAAATGCCAAGATCTCTGAAGCAGATGAACTACTTCATCTGCCCCATGTGTCTTGGCCATGACAGTAAAAGATGATATGATTTACCATATATTTTGTATTCCTAATGTGAAAGAACATGTAATACTAACCCCATGCATAGACCTTTCCTTCATTTGTGATAGCTATGCAGTGTGCAGAGGTGCAGCCAGAAACCACAGTCCTTATCTTAATTCCCTTCAATGTTGAGATTCTGTTGGGGCTCCAGAGATTAGGCCCACCAAGATTTTTCACTATAGCAAAACAAAACATTTCAGTTTTTTTTTACATTAAAGTCTCACTATATCACAATGTAATTAAAGGTAAGTACATCTTTTTTCATATATAGATTAGTGTAGCTTACTTCCTTTAGGGAGGGCTTTTCTACCAACAAGATCCCAATTAGTTGCACCACAGAAGAGTAGTTCCCCAGCAAGCATTGGAGCCTCAATTTTCTATTTTAAAAAATGAAAATCAATATAAAATTTATCACTCGGAAATATTTTATTAATTTATATTTAAAAGTTAGAAAAATAGTCTAATAGCAACAATACTTAAAAACAAAATAAGAAGTATTATAACAAGCATCAGCATGTAAGTGGAGATTTTATATTTTTCACGTCACACTTAAGTTGCTTACTTTACGATACACTGAAAACACCCAAAACAGTCACATATTAAAGCACTTTTTGCTTTAAAGCTGCTGGTCTATAATAATTTTTAGTGTATTGCAAGAAAAAGAAATCAATACCAAAACAACATAATTATAACATGTGAGTGGTGAACTTTCATGTGATGACGACCATGAAGTTATCCATTTTGTAACAACATTAAAAAATAATAAACCAATCCATAAGGGTGAAGGGGCGAGGACAGGCTTTGTTTGCAGCAATGAGATTAGACTGTTGGTAAAATACATTTATGCCTGTCACTAAAAAGGCTAATATTTTCTGCAAAAGAATAAATATTTATAATTTTCTTAGTACAAAAATATAGGCCTATATGATACAGAATAACAGTTGAAATAGACGTAATCAATCTAGAAATAGAATAGAGACTAGTTTTTCCAACTGCAGTGATGAAATAATAAAGTCAGAAAAAGATATGTATGCGTATGTTAAAAATGCGCTACAGTGACCTGGTTTATCTTGTTGATATGTTTGTTGTTCAGGCCTATGTGTTGTCTTAATGGGACAGGAATTAACATGATGAAAACTTAGAGGTTAAATAGGCAATTTTTTCTTTATAAACCAATAATTATACTTTACTTATAGACTAGATTTCTTTACTACATACACTAGTATAGGCCTATATAACTATACTATATAGCTTAGTATTGAGCCCTCAACTCCTGATGATCCTGCCGAGAACAACCACTGGACCACACGGTTATTACGGTACAGTTAGTCTTGACAGAAGATTAAGGCTAAAAAGGTAATTTGAACCCATTGAGCAGACAGCTATTAAGGCAATTACAGTCACTGGGTCATTGCATTTGGTATCTTCTGCTGGTGAGTGCCATAGAGCTCAGACTTGGGGGGGGGGGGGGGGGGGGGGGGTGGAGAGAAGCTTCTTTTGAGTAGTCACTAGTTCTAGTCACATTAGAATAATCTATAAATAAAAGCTGACCCTGACTGGTAGGCTAATGATTGACTTTAACTAAAAGTAATTATATGCTGAGTTGACCAAGCATACTGGATCTAAACTTTTAAAATCAAATCGCAAAATTATTAATTTTTTTTTAATATTTTCATCTAAATTCCTGACTATGCTAGTAGATCTCTACCTATTATCGATAACAATGGCGGATGACAACAATAACAAAACAATTTATTTCTGGTTTAAAATAGACAGTAATCCAATCATTTGAATGAAGACATTATTTTTCCACGACATAACTACAACAAATATATCTAGATCTATATGACGATACGTCTATATAGACTAGGCCCTATGTATACATTTCATTATATTAACTTAAATAAACAACTCACATATGATACGCCACTGTCATTTTCTGCCTCGGCACCTGCATCGGCTTCGTTGTCTTCTCGGTCTTCCAAGGCCGATTTCTCTGGAGGTGTAGTTTCTGCATGCTCTGAAGGTTTAGATTCTTCTTGAGTTTGTTTGCGCTTTTTAGTACTCCCATTTGAGTCAGTATCCCCGGTTCGTTTTTTGGGAGGCATGACTGTACTATGAGATATCAAGAAATTTTTTGACAAAGAAAACCAAAACAAAAGTCGTACAGAAACAGGAACCGCCAAGCGATTCGTGCACTGGGAAATCTCATGACATCACGCTAATTCCCGCCATCATAAAACGTGACGAGTTTATGATTGGTTTGTAAAACCACTAAACCACTGCCGTGATAAGTAAGGGGGTCTTGGTTTAGTTAGGCCTGGCCTATGTCTGTGGGTTCAACTTGAAAGATATCCTAAATCAACATCAGCCATATCTTTTATAGAAGTTATTGAAATTATACACCTACATTTAAAAAATATAGATCTATTTTTTTAAACGGATGTTGTTGAGAATTTATTCAATTAGATATATATTTATTATTTTACAAATCTACAAATGCTTTAGTTACCGGCGATAAAAACAGTGGCGCAGGCAGGTGTGTTAGGATGGTGAGAAACAGTGCTTCTTTCATACATTTTGCTCGGGGGGGGGGGGGGGGTAACTGTATAGCTCTATATATTTTCCTTGATCGTCCGTGGGGGCAGTTAACGTGTTAGGGGGGGGGGGGGCTAACGGGGGAGCAGTGCCCCCCTCCCCCTCCCATAAAGATGCTAGAAATAAACACGGGTTAGACGGCCTATTTTATGTTTCATATTATAAAGCAAGGCAACTCTATCCCGCAAAGTTCACCAAACTTCGTTAGAACCCCTTACGAAATTGTCTATCTTTCCACTAGGGATCGAGAGAAAAGATTTAGAGGACCGGGCGGAACGTTATTTAAACGTTTTAATGCATGTTTTACAAGCTTTTATTTAACTTAAAAAAATGAAAGTACAACAAATCGGTCCGATAGAAATCGACATTTTAATCGCCAATTTCCATCCATGACGGACGAAGCATCACAAGCAAACAGAGGAAGCGAGTTCAATAAAAGCTTGTAAAAACGCGAATTGTTACTATTCAGTTTCTAACATAACATTTTAATATTAAAAAATTGTGTCGTCACACTTTGTCACCCCATCCCCCTTGTCAAATACAGTGTTTCTTTCAGACTTTTTTCTCCCGGGTGGGGAGGGGCTCTTGAAACTTTCGGGGGGGGGGGGGGGATGGCTTGTCACTTGCAAAAGTATATTTCTGTATACATTCTATTTCGTTCGGGGGGCGGTAGACGAGCTGCGTTGGTGGGGTGGGTGTATATTATATACTTATATACTATATAGCTACATCTACAAAAGTACTGCCTACGCCACTGCAATCAGTAAGCTTAAGGCTTAATGTCATAGAGTCTAGAACTAGATAATACTAGATATTGTTTCTCGTTATTTAGTTATTGGTTTTTTAAGTGCTACTTTTTAAAATACAAAATGGCGATCTAAGCGAAAAACTGTAAACAAATGTCTACAATATTTAAAAAACAAACCACTGTAAAAATATCTTATTTTTACTTTTGCTTAGGGGGCCTACTTATTTCTTTATAATAAATAATTTATTTATTTTTCTTAAAATTTACATACAAGGTGTAGATCTAGATCTACTAAAAACTCACTCTCTAGGCAATACCAGTACACTCACACTTCAGTACCGTACAGAAACTTGGGTACAGAGTACTGAGAGTAGCCTAGGCTACCACTAAGGCTAGCTTACTATTATTAGCTTAGCTAATTAGCTAGAGTAGACTATTACTTATCACTAGAGTATGAGTATACTATATTATTAATGATAGGAGGATTGATAGGTACTAAATGAAAACTCCATGCGTATTTTTATTCCCGGCTTCACGTTCACCTCCAGTTGAGCGTATTTTATTATCAACATAACCAAAACACAACACAATAACATGGTTTCATTTTCTTACTGCAGGTCAAAATATTGTTGACCTGGATAAAAAATATTTTTTTTAAAGTGGCTTTAAAAGTAAACAACTGAGAATATGTTTGTTAGAAGTTGCAAATGAAGAGATCTTGAAAATAACCTGAATTTTCACTTTTGTAAGACATACAATGATTGGCTGTGTTGGTGTACTGTGGAGAAAGTAGTAGAAACTCTGTGATCAATTTTCTGAAAACCCCACTTAGTAATTTTGTAGTAATTTGTTCTGAAAACTTTGCTGATAAAACTTTAAAATTAAATTATACTTTTTTAAACCACATCACCTAATTTGGAACAAAAATTTCAGTTTGGAAAAATAGATATTCAAGTTACACTACACCTTAAACATGTAGTATTTAATAGTAAACAACAAAATGATATCCCTATTTAAAATACAAAATAAATGTATTTAAGTTAACACAGTAATTGCATCACATTTGCTTGGGAAGCAGTTTTTTCCACCTTAGTTGTGTATCAACAATATTTTGTTGTGTATCAAGATTGTAATATACTTATGTAAAACAAAAGAACAGTTTAAGCAAGGAAGAGGCAGAGAAGAAATCTTTATGATTAAAAAATCTTTAAAGTAGTTAACAGGGTATTTTTGTTTAATGTTATTGGACTTTGTCTTCTATAAATATCTTGAAATAAATCATTTTTTACACTGATAAAAACATAATGTATTGATTTTTTCTCAGCTAGAAAGTGAATGTTGTAGCCCTAGCCACAGAACCATATGTTTTGTAAAAATGCTCAAAAGTCAAACTTTGGGAATGAGACGTTGAAACGTAATGTGTTACAGACAACCTGACATACGAAAAGGAACAAATAAGAAGTAAAATTCATTATGGAAGCTCCACAACTGGTGGGTGAACCTATCTGTAGCATTGATTCCTTTAAGGATGATTGCCTGATTACTGGTGTGATCCAGGAAGGGCTGTTGTTGACAGAGGATGTAATGCTGAAGGCATTGTCTCTCAATGATATGCCTGAGGAGATCCTGGAACACATTTTGTGGTTTCTCTCCCCATATAAAGATTTGGATGCAGCAAAACTTGTCTCAAAACAGTGGTACAGAATCATTAAATGTAAGTACAAAACCAGAACTGAGATTTTATCTTATTATATCTGTTTCTCACTAGATATGTGTTCATCTATTCACATAATTTATTCACCACAAGTTTGTTCCAGTATGTGATACTCTACACCAGGGGTCTCCAAACTTTTCAGTCCGAGGGCCGCATTAACTATCAAATTTCAGTTCGGGGGCCAGTTTCTTCCGGGCATGTCTCTGATTTTTCTGGGCAAAGTTCCTCAGCTATCACCAGCAAACGTTTTTCCGTGGACAAAAAGATCTCCGCGGGCCGGATGATGCGGCCCGCGGGCCGTAGTTTGGAGACCCCTGCTCTACACAATTAAGACTTACACACTATCAAAGACAACAAAACATTTGCACTTTTGTTATTGCATGTTCTAATGACTATCTTGTCCCTGACAGCTCTAGTGGCTCAATGTAAAAGGAGATTTCATCAGAATTTAGCCAACTGTGAAGTAAAGTGGAGTCTTCTGACTAATGATACCATTTGCAAAGCCAGTTCAGAAAAAAAGTGCTCCAAGTAAGAAGTATTATTTAATACAAATGTTCAAATTGTTAGAGAGCCATTACTGTAATATTGTTTATAATGCGAAGGGTCGGCGTGGTCAAGTCGGTAAAGCTCATGGTTGCTAAACCGAAAAGACTCAAGTTCGAACCCTCGGGCAGATGAGGCTCGTTAGCTGGGGACAGCCACTCTTCTAGGAGAGACAACTCCAAAATTAAACAACTGCTGCCTTGTAGCAGGCTGAAATCGGAGTCAATGGCCTCAATGGCGCATAACCAGTTGACACGTAACGCTTAATTTTGTTGGAGGCGTGGTCGAGTCTGCAAAAAGCTCATGGTTGATAAATTCAAACAAAGTCTCGAGTTCAACCCACTGGCAGATAAATCTCGATCCCCTTCAACACTAATAATTAAGAACCAAGAAGAAGAAGAAAGTTTATAATGTATTGTAAATACAGTTTTTTAACATTTCATCTCTACAGTATTGTTTTAAATTTTTTAAAAATTAGTTCAATTTTCAAAACTATTCTCAAAATTTTGTGAACATTTTTTTTACATCACCCATCACAAATTTATCTTTCAACTAGCATCAGCATAAGTGACAGACACTCTCACAGTGCAACCTATTACAATGGTTCTATGTACATTTTTGGTGGTTGCACTTCTACAAATACTACTTTCAACGATCTTTGGAGGTTTGATCTTGGGACTCGACAATGGGTTCGTCCTGTTGCCATGGGTAGAAATTAATCTTTTTAACCTTAGCCTCATTTGTTTGTGTTGTATTTATCAGCTTATCAGTAATATTCTAATATAAAAAAAAACTCTATTTAATATTGTCTAAAATCTGTACTAGATAGAAAACAAGCAATAGATTCAACAGTGAATTTAATAAAAAAAAAAGGTTATTTTCAATAAAAGTAAAGTTATATTAGGGAAGGTATACAGGCTACAGGAACATGCTTCTCTGGATACTTTGCTCAAAATAATACCCCATGATGTTGATGCCTGGGTGGACTTGTTGTTCCTTATCGGTCAAGTAGAAAGAAATTAGGATCAAACACAGTTTTGAACCGAACCCCCTCCTTCCATCCATCCCTTCTTTGTGTTTGCCCTGTCAAGATCAATTTAAAAAATATTTAGAACATTTTGTAACTTAAAAAGATTTTATAAGTGCCTAAGAGTTAAATGTATACATTTGCATGTACAAAGTACATTCTATACAGATCTTGTATTTTCTAGGTACATATCCATCTCCGAAAGCTTGTGCTACTATGGTGGTCTATAATGGTAACTTAGTCTTATTTGGAGGTTGGAGTCATCCAATACCTTACCCTAATCCACACCAGGTCAGTTGTTTTTGTTGAGAGGTTGTATTAGACTATACATGCAAAAGTAACTTAAGTGCATTCTTTTTGTTCATCCACTAAAAATTCACAAAATTACATAACATATTTCAGTTAACATGGGAAATATTTTTTTCTCCTTATAAGTAATGGAAAAGAAATAAAATTGTTATAAAAATCCTTATTGAGTGCCTACAAAACAAAATGTGTTGGTTCATTATTGCTATTCGCCTATAATAAATAAAATTTTCTTTATTATTAGAAAACAAAAAAGTCTTCGAAATATGCTACAACCATTCTTTTTAAAAAAAATTGAAAAAACTGAATGTTTTTCAAATTATTGTCTCATCAATCCCCAGTCTGCACACTACTTCTCACATAACATTGTCCCATCTATCCCCAGTCTGCACACTACTTCTCACATAACATTGTCCCATCTATCCCCAGTCTGCACACCACTTCTCAGATAACATTGTCCCATCTATCCCCAGTCTGCACACTACTTCTCACATAACATTGTCCCATCTATCCCCAGTCTGCACACTACATCTCACATTACATTGTCCCATCTATCCCCAGTCTGCACACTACTTCTCACATAACATTGTCCCATCTATCCCCAGTCTGCACACTACTTCTCACATTACATTGTCCCATCTATCCCCAGTCTGCACACTACTTCTCAGAGCTACACTCCTACAGTCCTGTCACCAATCGCTGGACACACATTTTGTCCATTGGTCAAGAACCTGAAGCCCTGGGAGGCCACTCAGCATCTGTTGCTGGTCATTTGATGGTTGTGTTTGGTGGTTCTCCCAGAACTGGAATGGGGTAAGTAGATTCTAGTCAAATAAAAAAATGTATACAGTTGAGGCATAAGTATTTTGTTCTAATTTCTTGATGTTCTTTTTGTAAATTAGTTTTCTAAAAGTACTTAAGTAAAGAATATAAAATGCATTTTTTTTCCCTTCAGATCTAACAATGTTTGGGTGTTTAATTTCCTGAAATGTTCATGGAAGCTGCAAGCAGTCACACACGATGTTAGGCCCGACCCTAGATATGGACAGTATCAGGTATGCAACAGCTTTCCGTTCTGTATATTTTACAACATGCATGGTTCTTTTATCATAAGGAATTGTAAAATTTCAAAGTAAGAATTTTATATGAACTGCATACATCTAACCTTATTATGGGCAGCTGCTAGATAGTCTTAATGGTAGGTGAAGTAGAAAGTTTCTATGAAATCATTTTATGAAGTATAAAGGGTCGATGCTTATGTACAGTGTCCAGCTGCCTTCAATTTTACTGGTTGTAAAATTGCATTCAATATACAATGAAGTTGCTGCTAAAAATCCAGTTTTTCTCAAAATTCTATTTCCATTCGCAGACCACCTTAGATGAGAATCACATTTTAATAATGGGCGGATCAGTTGGACCCAGCAGGGTAAGTAACTCATGAAAGTTTTGTAGTTGTGGAAGTTTGCCCAGTTGGTAGTAAATCAGTATCAAATCAGTGCAATAGTAATAAACTCATGTATTTATGTTGTTGTTACTGCAGGTATATAATGATTATTGCCATTTCAGGTTTACAATGATATGTGGCTTCTTACCCTACATCCCACTGAACCTTGGACTTGGTCAAAAATAACCATCCAACACCCAGAACTTATGGCTCCACAGTCATGGTGTCATGCAGCTTGTAGAGTGAGTACCTAGTAGTTGTAGTAGTGTTAGTACCCTCACAAATTAAAGGCGATATTCTTGTCAGTTTCTTGTAACAATCAGTTGTTGCAAAATAGGTTATTACATCTTTTAATATATATGACTTAGTTTGATGATTTAGTACTGGACAAAGAAATAACAAGAATATAGTCTCATAATTTAACATTGTTTTCAACTACAATTGTTAATTGCTGAATATTGTTGCAGGTGAAAGATGTGATTGTAGTGGTGGCCAAGTCAAACAAACTGCGTCAGACACGAAACATCAAGCCCAAAACTATACGCACCTGTGCTTTGGGGGCAGCTGCTAGTGGTGAAAATTGCCCGCAAATGTCGTCAAATCACTTATCTAATCAGAACGATTCTAACTCTTCACCTCAGCCACCAAACAAGGCAAACAACTCTGATGAACAAAAGCCTCTCTGTAGCAGTAACAGATCAAACAATGAAGGTCTGTTCTGACACTTAATTCTAATTCCAATTTTTTTATTATATATCCAGTTTTTAGTCAAAGTTTTTTAAAAAGATGTTGCAAATAAATTTAACTTAATTTAAGTTTAAAACTTTAAATATGTATCTCTTAGTTTTCATAGATTTGTGTCAAATGTTGATAATTATCGTACATAATTATTACAGTTTGTAAAATTATATTCATCACATCATTTATTAAAAAATTGAAAAATCAATACTTTAATATACCATACAAGTTGGAGCTACTACAATCATATTGAACAGAATTTTTTTTAAGAGTAATGTTTTGACAAAAAATGTTTTTAGGAGTAATGTTTATTTACTACAAACATATTTTATCTAGATTTTTGTTTTCTTTGAGTGTTTGTTTTAAATGTATATTTTTTATATGGTACATGTTTCAGATTGTCAAGATGATAAAGCCAATAGTTCACCCAACAAGAGCTTACTTGCCCTACAGCAAAAGTTACACAGAGAGTGTGTGAATCTAGCAGACCCAGATAACCACCACCACAACCCGCACGGGTCAGACGAAGCTGAGGGTTACTTTCACAGACTTAACAATCGTTGGGGCAACGAGGCCAGTCCTGACCCAAATTATTTTCACCAACAGCAGTCTGAAAACAGCCCACACAACTACAACCAGCCAGAACAAGGAACATTTCAGAGAAGAAATCAAAATGTGCCTGCGAATGTTCGAGGCAGGGGAGCTGGGTTTATGCCATCTATCCGTCCAAATGCAATGTGCAATAGACAAAAGCAGCTCGAGGCCCTGCAGCGACAAGAGGAAATTCTCAGGTCCAAGTCTCGTGCTCTTTCCGCAGCAAGAAATAAAAAACCAGTGGATGTCAACCAGGATGTAGATCTGGAAGAAAATGTGCCGGACATAATACCAACCAAAAACAAAATGGACGTCCATGTGGTCAATATAAGTGGTGTGTTGACAGATGAGGTGGCGGTGTGCCGGCCACTAAGTGAACTGCAGCCGCCTGGAGCGCCAACAGAAACAATTTGTTGCAGCTTGCTGGAGGGTAGAGGTGAGCTGATACTCTTCGGTGGCGCCATCAGGGATGTGAAAGCTTCTGATGGCACCAACACAGCCATTAACAAACTGTATGTGTTACAGCCCAGGTGAAAACAGAGTTTTTAAATATTTGTACAAAATAAAAATATTTTATCTACCATTTTGATGTCATTTTTCAATTCTGTATCAAAGAAATGTAAACTACTTATAATTATTTAGTGAAAGAAATTAATTTAGTTGTTAAGTGTAAAAAATATTTATTCAGTGATAACAAACATTAGTAAGAAACATTCTTTTAAATTTCATTGCAATTGAAGAAACATTTGAAAACTATACATACAGGTGTATGGTAGACTTAAGTTGTTTTTACTCATTGTCAGTTTTTGTAGAGAGGTAGGTTGAGTTTTGGAAAATTGGTCGTGTTAAGAACAAGGGTTATAATCAAATGTTCACTCTAGCCTGTTACATTTAGAGTTGGCCACATTGTCAAGTGGAATAACTTATAAGTTTTAATCTGTGGGATTTCTCTCATAATTGGAAGATTTATTGTTCGTAAAGTATAGAAATTAATCAATGCTTAAAAAAAAAAAAAAAGCAATTACAAAAAATAATTTAGATTCACAAAATTTATTGGGGATTTTATACATTTTGAACAGTATAAATAAAATAAGTTAAAAAAATAGTTTATAAATGCATATAGATCTACATACAAATTATTTTAATGAATATACCTGTAATTAAAACACACAAAAAGATGTTTTAGACAGGTTGACAAGATAAAAAATGTACAAAAATTACTAAATTGATGACTTGCTCATATTGCTGCTAATTAATGTCCAAGAGGGTTAAAACTGAATGACATCAAACCTGGGACATTAGTTCTTTTCCCATGTGGACAATTTTTCTTTTTAACTGCTCTGTGTGTTCAGTTTCAAGACTAGAAGACAAAAATGGAATCAGGAAGTACAGGCTGCCATCTGCTGGCAGAAGTTCCAGGAATTGGGCAGGGTGGAATAACTCTGTTAGTCTTGTCAACAAATCTGCATTGGAAATAGAGTGGCTCTTATTTCAACAATGTGAAATTAGTTCTAGTAACAGTTTATTAAGCTTAACTAAGCCTGCTATGATGTTATGCAGGGGCGACCTTAACAACAGAACTCAACTGATACCACTGGTCTAGATAGAGAGATTCCTAAATGTTACATTTTTTTTATTTTTATGGAAGGCAAATCTGTTTCAACAAACTTAATGAAGTTATAAAAATCATTGTACAAGTTAGAAGCCCTACACAAATAAACTTCAATATTATACTGTACAAACTCTCACTCCTGATATAAGTAATCTCTCCGACAACTGCTGTGCCTTAAGCATTTTAAATCTACAAAAGTAACAACACATTCTGTTTGTTTCTACTGCTACTCAAGGGACAGAACCAAGACAGAAAGACATGATGAGTTACCTTTATAAGCTTTAACATAGATTTCTTCAGTATCAGCATCTGGTGTTTCTAAAAATTTCTTCATAACGGCTTCCATGTAGCGCAAAAGATAGGTATACTAAAATAAAAAGTTACATAACATTTAAGGTAAAATAAAAGATAACATTAGATATGCAAGGTAAAATAAAACTATGGATATGTAAATGAGGAAAGAAGTGCTTAAAATTCAAATGAAAGATTAAGAATAAATAAATTACAAGTAACTCAATGGAACTTCATTTGAATAATGTCAGTAGCCATTGCCAGATTAAAAAAAAAAAATCTTGATACCTTTTCAACACTGTCATTAAAACAGCAAGAGGCAAAAGATCCAACTATGTTAGGATATTTGTCAACAATTTGTTCCGTAGCTTTATCCAAGTCAAGTTTTATCAAACACAGAAGTTTTATACTGTCAGAGAAGTCATCTCCTGGAGGAGCAGAAAAGTCTTCACATTCAATCTGTGATGACCCCAACAATTGGAGGACCAAACTGGCAAGCTCATTTGTGGTTCTTGTGGAACATAATAGAGACTGAAAGGTAAAAAATTCATTTAGAAATCAGTCCAAAGTTTGTAAAAAATTAATTCTATTTTAACATTTTAATGCTAAAAGACTGGCTAAAATAAGAAAAAGATTAAATAAGCAAAATATGGATTTGACAAGTAATGTTAATCGAATATAAATAACATGCAAACTTGCTTATTTACCTTTGATTGCAAAAAAAATAATTGAAAAATAATTAACACTGAATTAATTGTTTACTTTTGTTTTGTTTATAACAGTTGTAAAAAAAATTATATATTTAAATATGCATTACAAAAAAATGTAAGAATATTTATATAAATACAAATAGTGGAGAACTGAAAGCAAAATTACTATCAGCCCTAAAAAATCTATTTGGTCATTAGATATGTTGGCCATAAACATAAACTGTGGTTGTAGCATATACCTGCAACTTGAGAAGACTTTCACTGCAGCTGCAGCAGTTGCACTTTTCACTCAAACCCTGTTTTGTTACGGCTGAGATAGGTATTGATGCAGTCCTTAACCCTTGACCTGGCATTGGCTTGAACTCTAACCTTATACATGGCCTAATCATTTTTTGTGGGCCTTGAAATGGTGGAAGGAAATCTAGCCAACCAAATCTTGGAGCAAAATGTCCATTACCTTGAGGCTACATCAAAATGAATGCAAAAGTAAAATTTTAAAAAGCCTTTATTAAAGAAACAAAATTCCTTTATAAGCAATGTTTGAAAATTCAATGACAAATAATTATCATTAAAATTTTTTTTAAAAACCCACGTTTTCTGATTGAACTAAAAAGTAGAAAATAAATGCTATACATCACAATAATGCAAGCGATCACTCTACTATAAGCTATCGCAAACTGCGTGCGCATTATGACAAAAAATGAAAAACGTGGGGCGCCGAAGTAAAAGTTTTTTATCGGTCATTGTTAATATAAGATGTAAATGTTATATTACTATTTATTAGATAATACTATTGAGTTTTATTAGGGAGCTTGTAGAGAGTCAACAGTATTAGAAACTGTAAGAAAATCACAGAAAAGATAAATAAATAGCTTTTAAATAAAATAACAGTAGTCATTATATAAATTTGTTCGCTAATTGGTATAATTATCTCCCAACCTTTCAACAATAACATTTTTGTGAGTAAAGATAGCTCTCATCTTTGACCAAAAAAAACAATTTTATCATAAACATACTTGTAATTTTTCTTGCATTTTATGTTGAGAATTAAATCTCTACTAAGATAAAAGTATAATCAAAATAAAACTACTGGTAATTAATTAAATTCAAATTTATTCAAATTTATTCAAACAACGGTTACAATTGTAGGCACAAAGGCCTTTTTTCACATTGGCCGTTTAAACAAATAAAGCAATTCAATAACACATAGCAGTAACACATAGCACTGAAAATGTGGAATAAAGAAACAATGGTACATAGCTATCATACATAATGAGATAAAAAAGAGAATATAATAGATGAATGAGAAATGTTACAATGAGTCAGTTAGGTCATTAAATAATTTTAGTTTTAATTTAGATTTGAATATATTTTCAGATCTAGATAGCTTTATTTTATTAGGAAGATTGTTCCACAAATTAGAACCAGAGTAGGCGAAGCTATGTTTTTGGAAAAAGGTTGAATAAGGGAATGGTAAATTGAGACGACGATTTAATTTTATGTTAAAAGAAAATAGATCTGATAAGTAAGAGGGGGCTGTTTCGTGGAATATTTTATATAAGAAAATTGATTTAGTATATATTATCTTTTTATTTAATGGAAGTATTTTAGTTGTAAGAAAAGAATCCATACTACTAGACAAGCCAGTAACCAGTTTTATAGCCCTTTTTTGTAAAGAAAGAAGAGGACGCTGCTTAGATATAAAGCTGCCGCTCCACACTACAGAAGCATAATCCAACCTGGATTGAATAAAAGCCTCATAAAAAACCAGCCTGCTCCTATAGTTGAGAAAGTTCTTTATCCTTGCTAACTGAAAGGTTGTCTTTAATAAGGACATTCTTAGAAAATGAATATGGTCAGACCAAGTGAGGTTGTGATCTATAAACAATCCTAGGCATTTGTAACTGTCTACCTGTTCAATGTTTGAATTGTCTATAGTAATGTTTAATGCGGTGGATGGAAGACGAAGGCGTTTCTGATGAGTTGTAATAAACATTGACTTGGTTTTATCGGGGTGAAGTTTCATTTTGTTAAATTTTGTCCAAGTTGCAAGCTGATTGGCACATGTTTGAAGTTTGTAACTGAGTGACTCAGCACTGTCTGCAAAGACATGCAAAGAAGTATCATCAGCGAACATCTCGCACTGACCAGCGTCAATATGCAATGGAAGATCATTAATGTATAAAGAAAAAAGTAAAGGACCTAAGATTGAGCCCTGTGGAACCCCTATATTAACATATTTCTGTGAAGAGATGGTATTAAGGTGAAACACGCGTTGAGATCGGTTAGATAAAAAGGAGTGAAGTAACCTAACTGTAAAGTCGTGGAATTTGTATGGAATTAGTTTTTTAAGAAGTATGGTGTGATCAATAGAATCAAAGGCTTTTCTGAAATCGACAAACAGCGAGCCACAGAGTAGGTTTTTGTTAATATTTATAAGCCAGTTTTCATTCATCTTAATCAGAGCAGTGTGACAAGAATGAAACTTTCTAAACCCAGACTGATTACTATGGAAAAGCTTGAACTTTTCTAGGTAATATGAAATGCATTTGTTTATATGTATTTCTAGTGGCTTGGAGAGGGAAGAAAGTATAGAAATTGGCCTGTAGTTATTAGCATCTTGGATGTTACCTTTTTTGTGTAGTGGTATAACCTTAGCATGCTTAAAATGTGTCGGGTAATAATGCTTGGCAATACAGAGGTTATAGACATAGGTTAAAACTTCGGAAATTATTGGAGCTGAAATCTTCAATACATTATTAGAAATATCATCAAACGAAGTTGTTGAAGACGGTTTAAGAGATCTTAGGCTAACATAAACTTCATGAACAGTGAGAAGCGGAATGATCAGCTCTGTCCTACCACGGTGAGCAGAATTACAAAAATTTTTAAGCTCCTCACTGATTGTGTAATCAGCATCTGTGTTGAGCGCTACAGATGATATAAAATGATTGTTAAAGTCATCAGCAGATATCTGGCAATGTCCAGCTGTATTACATGTGCGTTTTTTTCTAATTATTTGATTTATAGCAGTCCAGATAGATTTGGAATTAGGTTTGCCTGACAGCAGCTTATTAAAATACTCTTTCTTCGACCTACGCACAAGCAGTTTGACATAATTTCGCTGCCTACAAAAGTCCTCAGAAGTTCCATGACGTTTAAGCCAGTCTCTTTTATTAATTGCAGATTCGATATTGTTGTAAAACCAAGAAGGTTTGTATGTAGTCTTAACTCTTTTAGAGATTTTAGGAATATGTTTATCATATATAGTATAGAAAATACGCAGCCATTCAGAAATGGCAAGATCGGGACAATTATAATTGTATACATTGCAGAAGGGGGCAGCCAATAAATCCGAAAGAAAAAGATTTTCATTAAATTTTCTAAAAGAGCGATAACTTATAGTTATGTGTTGCCGCGAAGGTACACATAATCTTTTTGTCGAAAAAGTACAGCAAACAGGGAAGTGATCACTAACACCACAAGAGGGAACACAGACCTCTATTAGGTTGCAGTCAGGTGATGCGTATATGTGGTCAATTATTGTACTAGATTTATCATTTACCCTGGTAGCCGTGTGCACAAATTGTTTAAGATTCAAAGAATCAATAATATCTTGCCAATATCCTTGAGGTTTTAATAAATTTATATTAAAATCTCCCAATATGATATATTCATTGTTAGTAGATAAAACGGTATCCATCATGGAGCAAAAACGATCATACCAATCCATGTTTTCACAGGGATTTCTATAAAGGAAGCAAATTAAAATTGCCGGATGGTGTTTGCTTTTTTCGAGTTCAATCCAAATACATTCTATATTGTCCGTTGACAGATCCATCCTGTACTTGAAACGAATTGAGGAGTGGACATAGACACAAAGGCCAGTTTCTTTGTGTAAGGATGGGTCTCGGCGTATTAGGTTATAATCAGAGACGGATATCTCAACATCATTTATAAAAGATTGTAATCGAGTTTCAGAGAAACCAAAGATATGGAAAGGATTGTTGGAATTGTTTAAAATTTTTAGAACTTCATGGTGTTTATTAAATATGTGGAAAATATTTAAATGACCCAATTTTAGCCCACATTGTGAGGGCCAGGATGATGAAAATAGACAATGCATAAAGATAATAAAATATCAATGAATAAGAGATGTTATAAACAAAAATCAATATAATGAACTAATTAAACAGAATCAATATAATTGTCTTACAATTACACGCTTTGTCATCCAATAAACAAACACTCGCTGCTCTTCACACTGCCTACACTATAATTAAAATAGTACAGTGAGCTAAACTAGTAAATAGTAAGTGAAAAAAGTTAGGTTCCGGGAAGGCGCTTAAGCGACAACATTAGAGCTTGATGAAGCAACAAAGGGCTAAAGCCCATTAAGTGATGTAAGCCTGGGCTAGAGTTCAATTGATCTGAAGATATTGTTGGAAGCAAATCAACAGTCGAAACCAAATCAGACGTTGTACCTTTTACGTTTGAAAGTTGCACATGGTCTTTATCTGTTAAGCTGACGGCTCTTTGGGGATACTTTATATTTTTAGCAAGAATGCTGCTTCCAATTTTAGTCAAATGAATACTGCCACTGTACAAGCGTTGTCTCGGGGCTCCTGACTTCGCAGTGAAAAAAGGTGTATTGTTTATAAAACAGTATTTATAACTAATGCAGAAAGACTGTAAAAATCTATTATTTATATCTATCAAGTGCCTACCCTTGCCCCGACATGGGGGTACGATGGATGAAAATCGGATTGTTGCGTTGGGAAATTTGTGAGTGATACTTCTCACAATTTCTAGCATATTAGCTTGTGACAGTCTGACGTTTGATAGACTGTCGTTGACACCACAATGTAAGGTTACAGTTGTGGTATTAGAGTCACGTGATCGGCTACTAATAATGTCCCTAATTTTTTCAAAATTTGCCCCAGGCAGCGCTATTACCGATACACGCTCGTAATGATCCGTGGCCATTATATCAGGATGGAGACCTTTAAGTGTAGAGTCACCAAGGATCAGATGGTATTTCGTTGTTTGGTTGGTGTAGGGGGCGGCGACATGTTGTGTGCTATCTCTATTAGTGGCATAGTGAGTAGAGCGTTGGACAACAGGGACATGAACAGCCTTGACCGTTGGGACGCTGTATTGTGTAGAATTGCTTTTAGTTCGTGGTCGTTGCAGGGTGCTGGGACTCGAATGTTCCGATGGTTTGATTCGCGCTCTGTCATCACGTTGCGTAATTTTAACAGGGATTGGGAACGGAGCTTCTAGCATGATGCCTGCCGATGTGATTTTTGTGTCATTTATTAGTTGTTGTTGATTATCCTCACATGTTGAGGTGGATATTGTGCTGCAAGAGAGATTCTTGGTTGTGAGGAGTTTCTTTAGTGACGCAGAAATATTTTCTTGATCAATCAAACGTTTCTTAAGGTTAACGTGTATATCTTTGCAGCTATGCACTTCATTAGATAGTCTCTTGACTTCATCCCTTAAGACAGCGTTTTCGACTCGGAGTTGTTCTAGTTGGCTGTTAAACAGCAATTTCTCCGCTTTAAAAGCTTTTTTAACACAGGTGATCTCGTTAAGAATAAACGATCTTAAGTTATTATCCAGTTGTGTGGTTTGAAGAAATGATATTTTTGGACTAAGCAAATCAGTTGGTTGAGATAGGTTTGATGAAAATGTATAGTTATTTATAGGTGTTACACAATCTAACGGATTGGTATTGATCGTATCCTCTGCACATTGATTGTCACTGTTGGAAGCAGACATAATCATGGGCGGTGAAATGGGTAGCTCCAATACTCTGGGTGGGGACAGTGAAGGTGGTGGTGACAGTGATAGTGGCGGCGACATGGGTAGAGGCATGTCGACAGCTTTGTCTGTTGTAATTAGGTTATTTAGAATACAGCAAAATTCCGAATCCACCCAAACAGACACAACGTTAGATTTTCCCTGTACCATAATTTTGTTATTCGTGTGGTACAGATGGACAGATAGCCCTGGTAATTTATAAATATCTTCAACATTGGCGCCATCATCATCCCTTCTTTCCTCAACAACACCAGCATATTTAGTTTTGAAGATTCTTTTTACTTTTTCATAGCTAATTGAGTTTCTAAAGGCAACGATAACGCATTGTCCTCCATCTTTCTTTTGAAAATGAATATCATCCGCTGCACAAATGTTAGCAATCTTTTTTGATATCGCTTTTTCTTTATTTAAACGATACTTCTTAGCTCTGCTGCTTCTGGTGACAACACCAGTCCCTAACATTTTCACTCACCAGTAAAATTAAAATATCATGCTGACATCAGTAGAAATAGATGAAAAAGAAAACGAATCATCAGTAGATCTACAACAACTAAGAATATAGATATCCGGTTACATTTTAACAAAGGATTTACCTGAGAAGTCTGACAAAACAGGTGGGCTTATAGCTAACTGGGAAGTGCCCGAAATTTCGATCGCAAGATTTGATTGGAAAAACAAACAAACAAACAGACGCGAAAGCAAGTTAAAGAAAACGTGGGAAATAAAAAGAAACAAATTCAGCTGCTTGTGCAACCTGGAGTATTAGTTAATAGTATTGGAACACCTTGGCTAAATCAGCACAACTATGTTTGGTAATATGTATATGCTCTTGTAAAAAAAAAAAAAAAACTGTTGCATACAAATAACTATGTAACCACCACACAGTTCATTCCTGTTACCCTTAAGTTAGTGATCACATTCTCAACATATGACCACGCTGTCTACCCCCACCCCCTCTCCCCTCCCCAACCACCATGTCATGCTAAATTGGAAACTCATCCACTTAACATGTTTTAGTTAATTTCTCAAAATCTTGTGTTTTTGTTTGGTTAAATCTTACCAAAGAAAACTTTTGAAAACTTGTGGTCGCATTTTGCTTTGTGGTCGGCTGTGACTTGTCTTTTAATTTTTTAATATAGATTTCACAAAGTAAAGTCTGAAAAATTAAAATTTAATTTCAACTTTATAAAAAAAAAATCTACTATAGAATTACAGTAGGTTTAGACAGCATAGTAAAAGCTTAAAGCAAAAAAAAAATAACTTACAACAGCTTCTTCAAATAGAAATACTCTTTTGTGATCTGAAATTAAGTCAGTAAAAAATAAAAAAAAAACAAAGTAGGCCCTACTTTAACTTGCCAAAACAAACTTTGAATGGCTGATTACACTGGATGAAACAATATTTTTCCAAACTATAAACCAAATAAATATAACTCTCTTTAAACACAAAAAAACAAAACAAAAGTAACTCTTCTAAGTCAAATATAATAAGTATTATAGCAAAGCCTTAGAGAAAAGAACAACAAAGACCTGTTAATATCAGCTCCAAGACTTCTCTTACATGGTTGCTGTAAGGGTCGTCGGATTCACTCTGACTCTGAAAATTGTGTTCAAATTTTAGCTTTTTAAAAAATATTATAGTTTCTACCTAACACATTGGGAACGGAGTGGTCTAGTGGTAGAGAGCTGGACTGCTAACCGTAAGTTTTGAGTTCGAATCCGGGTTCAAGTCAGTAGACCGTCCCTGATGGGTACCTAACTCACATTAGGGAAAGTAAAGGCGGCTGGGCATAGTGCTAACCACACTATCTCTTCATATGTTGAGGTCACAGAAACAAGTGAACTCTACTTCACTTGCCCCATAGACCGTCAGGTTTGAAAGGGAAACTTTACCTAACACATTATTACATTGATTTTCAATAAAATAGCAACATGAGTGGAAGTCTATGATATTTTTGAAAACATGAGAATTCAAACTATTTTTTATTTACCACACTATCCCTTCATATGCCAAGTTAACAGAAACAGGTGAACTCTACTTCACTTGCCCCATAGACCATCAGGTTTCAAAGGGAACTTAACTTACGTTTACTTTTTACATTACTTTCCTATACCTGTCTAAATATTTAAAACAGTGAGATGCTTTAAAAAGGTATTAAAAATCCTGTAAAAGGTTGCCCTACCTTGAGCAGATACAGGAGAGAGTCTAATGACATGACACACAAAAGGTTGACCTACCTTGAGCAGATACAGGAGAGAGTCTAACGACATGACACACAAAAGGTTGACCTACCTTGAGCAGATACAGGAGAGAGTCTAACGACATGACACACAAAAGGTTGACCTACCTAGAGCAGATACAGGAGAGAGTCTAACGACATGACACACAAAAGGTTGACATACCTTGAGCAGATACAGGAGAGAGTCTAATGACATGACACACAAAAGGTTGGCCTACCTAGAGCAGATACAGGAGAGAGTCTAACGACATGACACACAAAAGGTTGACATACCTTGAGCAGATACAGGAGAGAGTCTAATGACATGACACACAAAAGGTTGGCCTACCTAGAGCAGATACAGGAGAGAGTCTAACGACATGACACACAAAAGGTTGACATACCTTGAGCAGATACAGGAGAGAGTCTAATGACATGACACACAAAAGGTTGGCCTACCTAGAGCAGATACAGGAGAGAGTCTAACGACATGACACACAAAAGGTTGACATACCTTGAGCAGATACAGGAGAGAGTCTAATGACATGACACACAAAAGGTTGGCCTACCTAGAGCAGATACAGGAGAGAGTCTAACGACATGACACACAAAAGGTTGGCCTACCTAGAGCAGATACAGGAGAGAGTCTAACGACATGACACACAAAAGGTTGACATACCTTGAGCAGATACAGGAGAGAGTCTAATGACATGACACACAAAAGGTTGGCCTACCTAGAGCAGATACAGGAGAGAGTCTAACGACATGACACACAAAAGGTTGACATACCTTGAGCAGATACAGGAGAGAGTCTAACGACATGACACACATGTCTAGCATCTCCACCAGTATCTCCAGCAGTGTGCCAGACATGTGCTGCCTCAACAGCTGGGCTAGCGGCGTAAAGGAGTTGAAGTTCTCATGAATGAGGGTTGGGTGAGACGAACACACGTCAACAAGGTTGCTTTTTTGGATGGAGTTAAGTTCTGTTCTGGCCATCTCCACCTCACACATGGTTAAATGTAACTGGACCATGGCTAGTTTATCTACTGGACTAAGGAAGATGAGAAATCAGAATATTAGAGATCATTTTTTAACCGTCGACCTAATTATGAATGTTCAGTCATGTTAATTTTTTTTAAATCCATAACTTACGTAATTTGTTGGGAACTGCTAGACTTGACTGACAACCAGGTTTTTAAATGATGAAAAGCAGTTTCTGATAAATAAAGCAAACATATTTTAAAGTAAAGAAAAATAATTTTAACAAATAAACTCACTATTATAAAAATGATCACAAGTTCAAACAAAATCTGATTTTTTAACAAACGTTTTCAGGACAACATTTAGTAATTTTTCAAAATTCGTATAACAAATAAACATGCAGACACAAAATTAGAATAAAAACCCACCTGGAGTAAATGCCTTCATATTTGACAGCAAAATGACTTTAGAAAGTTTTTCTGGTGCTGACACTGCGTACATTTTGAGGATGTTATCACAAGAGCTGCTACTGAGGTCTATGTACTCATCTTGTAAGAACAGGACATTGTTCAGGTAGTCCAGGACACCTTTACCAAACTCTCTCCTGTTATGCTGCAGAATATACATAAATGCTGTAGGACTAAGCTGAGGTCATTGGCTCCACAAGGAACAAAAAGAAAAAATGATAATGATTTTAGATCTAGGCACATGAGTAAGTAGGTTAAATTATTTTACACCAATATTTCAGTTTCATAATAAAATATTTAAATAGACTATTAATTAAAGAAGAATAGTTAGATATCAAATATGTAATACACCACAAATTATCTGAAGAAACTAATTGGTCAGTTCAATAAAGAGGTCTGGTGTAAAAATGTAATAACTTCAGTTAAAATATTTTGAAAATGCAATAAAATTGTAACTATAAATTATCTCTAGAGAGTGAACGCCACAAGCATACTTTTTCAGTCTGTTCCATGATGTCTGCTACAATCTCATTGACCGGCACACCAGAGCTTCTATAGTAGGAACAACACAAGTGCCATTCATCTTGACCTGGCCTGCCACACAAAACTTTTCTCTTACAGCAAGAAAACTGATTATCAAAACTAACTAAAATAAATAGATTTGAATAATTAATGAATACAAAATATTAATTTATTAATTAATGAATAAAAAATATTAATTCATTTAGGTGCATTATTAATTTTTGGCTATACTATGTTAGTTTAAATACTAAATTCAAGACAGTATTCATTATTACTTAATGCTTGTAAACCAGAAATATTAATCAAAGCTTTATCAATGACCAATATCAATAATTCATGGAAAAACTCTTCAAGACATGGAATAATACAGCAAGGCAGAGTAGAAGAGGGCAAAGCCCCTCATGGACAGTAGAGAGACAGGGATGAATGGATTAAGTACCCTTTCAGACTAAATAATCCATAAGGTAGATGAAGTAGACACTATCAGATTGTGCAAACGTTGCATATTATTTTGAAGTAATTGTGTTGAGGACTATGCAGAGCTGCATTAACTTGCATTAATTGTGGAGTCGTCGAACCAAATTCTAGAGTGATGGGTCCTCTATAACTCGACTATACCATCCCAATATGAATTTGACAAAAAGAATATAATATTAATTTCAAGTGAACATACTTCGAGTAATAATCTCCAATCAGCCGACTGACTTGCTGCAAACACTCCTTGACACCTGGGTCCTGCATGACGGTACAGAGTGGGTGAGTACTGACCAACAGGTGAGCCTCCAGTAACAGGTGGATGTAGGATGATGGGCCTGTGCTATGGATGCCTTCAGCAAATGATATCTACAAAAATAAGGTCACTCATTTTATTATTTAATTGTATTTATATCTAGGCGAATTTTTAAAAATTTGCAAGTGAATTTTAAATAACACTTTGGTAGCTAGATTTTTAATGTTACACTTTTTATTTAGGCCTATTTGTTATTACCATTTCTTTATACAATTCAATCAAGTTGAACACGTGTAGAATGTAGACACTCCAATGTGCTTCTTTCCTATTAGAAACAGAATTTCATAAATGATTTGTGTCTTCATAAAATTAGAATCTAGAAAATGTAATTTGACTTAACTTGTTTAATTTATTTACAACCCAATAAAGGTTTTTAATTTACAATGAAACAATATCTTACCCAGCTGGGTCTTGGACTTTGGATAACAGAGCCAGAAAATTTTTCCCAACAGACAAATTGGCAACTCCAAAGAAGGGCTCATGTCCACATAAACAAATATCTAAGCTGGAGGGTGGGTAACACTGGAGAAAGATATGGAAAAAAATTTAACCTATTAATATTTAATCACTAGAGTATTTTTCTGTTTAAGGTTTGTGTATTATAAAAATGAACATGAAGTTAGAATAAATTTACCTTCTCATGACTGTCTTCATCGTAATGTCCTTTTTTCATCATCTCCTGAGACAGAACACCCCAACGAGATGTGTACGTTTCTATGCCAGTGGCTGTAGCAACATGTAGATGGCTCTCACTTACTCCGACCTAATCATTTCATTAAAACATTTTCACTTTGTTAAACAAGATAAAATAAATGTATGATTTTAATAAGGTGATAATTTAATACTGTGATATGTTTATTCAAGAGTTAGAACTAAGTTTGTTAAGGGACACTATCATAGCTAAGGGGAGATAAGATGGCATTTAAATGCTCGTCTAACATTTAACTAACCAAATAGTGAGTTCATGTCATTAAAGCAATGGAAAATGTTCCCCAATAAAGATTGATTAATAATTAATACTTTTGATTTCATTCAAGCATACCAGGAACAAAAATTTTTTTGAATTACCCAGTTTAACCAAGAATATTTATTCTGGGCCATGAACATTTGGTGGATATGATTTACATTGATAAAAATTAAATATATTTTAACACTGTTAGCAAAAGGCTATGATTTACATAGCCTAGGCATGCAAGACACTGAGTAAATTTATTCCCCATCTCACCTGTGTGGCCTGGTCTGTGTACTTGTACAAAGAAATCTGGTTCAAGGCAGGTGACAGCTGGTACAGGTAGCCTCCCCTGTTTCCACTGACATAACAACACATAGAGGTCCTAGTAGGGCTCAGCAAGGACCTCATTCTGTCTGTGTTCACGCTCGGGACTCTCAGAGGTGTGCTCAGTCCTAGAAAATTACAGGTGTTGATTGGATCATTAAGTTAATGTCTTCTCAACGTTGTTAGAAAAAAAAATTTTTATTGGTCACCTGTAATAAAAAATGTAAGTTGGAATAAAATACTAAAACCTCAACTAATATAGTTGAAAACTGAACAGGGTAGATAGGTTGCACAGATAATTTTAGTTATTTATAATCAAATTATTTGGGTATATTTACGTGCATTCAACATAGCAGCAGCTGTATACAGACAGACAAACAACACAGCAGACAGACAACACAGCAGACAGACAACACAGCAGACAGACAACACAGCAGACAGACAACACAGCAAACAGACAGACAGCCAGAAACACAGTAGCAGACAGATAGACTTAGACTAACCTCCGCTGTATGTTGGAATCAATGTGACACTCATCCAATCCTCCTGTTCCCGTGTGTCACTCAGATACAAAACTGTCTCTGCTTGAACTCCAGAACTAGATTTCCTATTCCCACCTGACCAGAAACAATAACAGAAAAGATAAATAAACAGCTTTTAAATAAAATAACAGTAGTCATAATATAAATTTGTTCGCTAATTGGTATAATTATCTCCCAACCTTTCAACAATAACATTTTTGTGAGTAAAGTTAGCTCTCATCTTTGACAAAAAAAAAAACAATTTTATCATAAACATACTTGTAATTTTTCTTGCATTTTATGTTGAGAATTAAATCTCTACTAAGATAAAAGTATAATCAAAATAAAACTACTGGCAATTAATTAAGGATTTACCTGAGAAGTCTGACAAAACAGGTGGGCTTATAGTCTTAGCATGGTGATGGCACTGGGCTTGTGTGACAGGTGTGTGCAGACCAGGTAGGCAAACAGCTGAGCTGCCTGCAGCCCCACCCCCTGGCTGGAAATTCCACTCCACAAAGTTTTCGTCATTCACTATCTTGGTCTCAGTGGCCTCCAACTGTTGCAAAGTTGTGGGCTTGGGGCTTTGCCAGCCCCCTTGCCACATACCCACTGAAAATATGTCCATAATTTTACATTCTTAATCTCAATTAAAAAATAGTTGTTCAAAATGCAAATTGATGCTTATTTATATTTCAACTAGGATAAACATTTACAAAAAAGCCATAAATTATCTTTCTACCACCATTTAAATATATAAAACAATGTGCTGCTCTATTTAGTCAGAAACAGTGATAAAAAAATTAAACAAAAATCCTGTTATTAATGACTCCTACAAAAAGCTGTCTACTTCTTTTTTTTTTAAAACAAAAGTCTTAAAATAATTTTATAAAGCAAAGTGTACCAGATGAGAGATCTTTTCCCATTTTGGCATCCAAATTTAACCGCTTTTGTGGCTTAAACTCTTTGGACTCTGTATCCTCACTGTCACTTTGTGGTGAAAATGTGACCCTTCCTAGCGACCGCTGATCCTGAAACATGAAGGTTTCACTGACAACAGACTGGGGAGTTGCTGCCCCTGATGATAGTCTGCTAGAGTCCTGGTCAAGGTTAGTAGTTTGTGTGTTGGGGGACAGCAATTCGTTGTCCATGTAGGTGGACACAGAACGGCCTTCTGAGCTGATTGAAGTGGTTGGGGATGTCACAAACTTTTTTTGCGATCTGGGGTTGATCTTTTCGCTCTCATCATACCTGAAAGAGTCAAATTTAAACCTGTAGGTCTGAAATAAATGTTTCAGGACTTAAGAGAATTTTTTTTTTCCTCAGTTGATTAAGTCGGTATAGTTAAATTATTTATTCTCGCACCTGACCCTAATGCCTTGAATCTCTTTATGAGAACAGCATACAATAAATTCTTCACACAAGGAGAGAGATGTAATTTGAAAATTCCAACACAACTCCAAAAATACCTACTTGTAAGAAAAAATGCAGTCATTTTAGCGGATGACATTTTTATTATGGTATTAAAAACTTTTAACCTTTTTAAATACATCATACACAATTCATAAATTAAAAGGTTAATATACATACATATATTTATAGTCAATCTAATAGTATGATTTAATGTCTAAATTAGAAAAATTATCTTAAAGATTGCAGAAGATCAATATAATTTAGTTTGAGATCTATAAATGAATCAAATAAAACAAGGAAATTTCACTCAGTTTTCAAGTCAACCCACCTCCACGTCTATATAAGTACTGTTAGAATTAGCTACGGTTTTCTCCACAACAGTACAAAGTTTAACTTCTGAGCTACAGGCTATGGCAAAATTACCTGTATATCTGTAAAATAATATAATTAAATGTATACACATTAATACAAAACTGCCACAACAAAAATAAAATTGTAATACCTACTGATACAGATAAATTAAAATGATAAACAATGTAAGTATATTCAAACCTAAGTAAAGAAAAGTATATACTTGCATACAGCTATGCAGCTGGCATTTTTTTCCACAGGAACCTCTACTATTTCCATTACAGGTGAACTTGAGCTACTTGTCACATACTGCACATGTGATTTGCCTGCCACACTTACTTTAGTTCTTGGCTTTCCTTTTTCTTTTGTGTTTAGTTGCCAGTTTAAGTATATATGGGCTGATTTCATTTCTCTTTTCCATGACTTCTTAAGTTCAATAGTTGCTATGTAGTTTTCTAAGAGATAACAATATGTTGTTTTTAAAGAAACCCATAAAAATATCATTTAGGGCCTACAAAACCTGAATTTACTTCCTTAATTATTAGAGAACTAGCTGCATACCCGTGCTCTGCTACAGGGAATCTTTTTAAATGTACCAACTATGGAACAGAACAGAACAAAACTAAACACAAACACACAAGAAAACACAAACACAACGCATACCCGTATACAATTTTAAAATAAATTTCTTTTAAGAGGTAGTTGAAATATCAGCTACCATTTTTTACTTTTATATATGAAAACAAGTACATTAGATGAGTCAGTCTCGTGCCATTTACATTAAAATAGTTAGAATAGTAGAATACTTACATGTTTTAATTTTTGCGTTGCCATGTAATTTATAATTATTTCCACGCTTAACATTTTTGTTGTAAAAATAACAAACTTAAACAAGAATATTATTCATTTAACACAATTATAATTTATTAGGCCCCTATAAAAATAGAGTTTTGATTAAAATTGTCAAAACTTCATACCAATCCAACTCAGCTGATTTACATTTTTAGACAATAGTTTATTTATTTTTAAGAACTAGGCCTAAATAATTATTTATTTTCATTTTAATTAGATTTGTACATTCTAAGTCCCATAGAAATCAACTTACTGAAACTATTGTATACAATTTTATCAACTTCTGAAATTGTTGGACATCTGTGAATCTCTTTAAAGTTTCCATCACGAACTTGGTAGATAAGGATTTCACAGTCACTAGTGGCAATAAAGACTTTGTCATCATCAGCACAAATAGTTAGAGGCTCTTTCTTTACAGGGATGACTTGTTGTGAAGAAAAGCTATGACATTTGAGAACTCGCACCATTGCAGTTTGAGTTAACTATTTTAATTTTTTTTCCTGTTCAGAAATTACATTCAGATTTTTTAAAAGGCAAGGTTCAAGGTAAGGCCTTCTCACTAATCTCTGGTATCTCACCACCTAACTAACTAGAATCTAGACTCAAGATTCTACTATATTACTAAATATTTTATCTAGTAGTAAGTAGATCTGTTGATCTACAATCCACTTTGATTATCATCGACATCAGGACTCAGTAGTAGTGAAGTGACGGTCACTGTCAGAGACTGAGGAAGGGAAAAAAAGATACATTAAAAATCCAATAACTACCATATTTCTAGTATGTATTACTGGTACTGCATAATTCAGTTACTAGATCTATATCAGATAAAACAATTTTCTTTATTCTTAAGCCTAAATATTAACTAAATAACCTAAATGTATTCTTGGCCTTTCTGAGCTTCTCATGACAACAAATATATGAAGGCAAACGCCATTTTAGCTTCCTAAAAATCATGTGATCTACATTTATTTATAAAATATCTAAAATTATAAACAATCTTATTGGCTAATTGAACTTCCTGTTGGTTTGTTTACAAGTGCGCCTATTTTGAAACTTTGGATTACTTTCGACATCTAGAAAGTGGAATTCCTAAATTCTACTTAATGTTTAAAAGTAAGACGAAAAAAATAGAACTCACTTGAGAAAGTACCCAAAGTGCCTTTTAAGTGATCTATATTATTTCGATAAAGCAGTAATTAGTCGTAAATTCTATCTATACGGCATACTTCTCTCTCTCACGTCGTACTCAGCTCAATTCTGGGTTCATGGGCATGGGGAAAAAAAAACAACACAAACACGCCATGTAGCCGCGGCGTGTAGACAGTAGTCGGCATCCAGTCTAGATTTAGATCTAGATCTAGACATCTAGATCTACATGATTTCAGATCTAGTCTTGTCTGAATCACTAGATCTAGATCGTTCCTAGATCTAGATCTAGTTTTAACTTGGCCTAATTTTTTTTTTAAAGTAGTCCTAGAATAGATCTAGAGTAAAGTTCCACGCGCGGTCACACATAGCGGAAAATTCCAAATTCCCGATTTTCATCGGGCGCTATTTTATAACCGTTTCACACAGAAACAAACCGAAAGCACTGTATTACTCCGCTGCCATTCTACTGTAATATGTATGAGTCATTTTGTATTCCTACGCATAGTATTTAAGATATTCATGTTTTAGTGACGTCCCTCCTTGCGATATTTTTTTTCCCTTTTTTTTTTGCCTGCGTACGCAAGAACCTGCTTGCCAACGAGCGTATTGTATACGTTTTGATCCAATTTTAATAATTGAAATAAATATTTTACACACTTAAACGTGTTGTTGATTGTATTATTAATTAATAGATTGCAAAAATAATAATTAAAAACATGTTAATTAAATTAATTAAAGACATTAAAAGTTGACCCAGTGATGACTCAAGGGACGCAACTATAATAATCATAACAAAGGGACGTAACAACCACTAAAAGACATAACGTAACATTTGCTTAGATATGCTTGTATGTAGAGACACAAACTAGATTTAGAAGAAGTAGATGATCGAAATAATTTAAAACAGCAGAAAAAAATAGAAAGTATACAGATTCTAGGCTTAGTTTGAAATATAGAGCATCTAGAACTAGGCTAGTCTAGCTCAAGTCGTTGGTTACGCAGCGATGTGAAACCACCGTAATCGACACCCAAGCTGCGGCCACCCCTATTTACCTATCAGGTTGCTTTATTAGCCTTATCTATCGTATGTAAAGTGTCCCGCATATATTGTAGAAGCTATTTATAGTTAACCTAGTTATAAAAAGCTTTGATTGGTTGGTTTTATTCATCTCATCCGGGACCTAGTGTTTTTCATAGGGGGAACTAGAACCGCCTACGACGTCATACCTCGAAACTTTAAAATTTAAAAACTCGACTTCCAGAAGGAGAAAAACAAAAGAATTTGACCTGGATATATTTAGAAATGGACAGGTTTACAGCAGATATCGGTAGTTTCGTATAAAACATCAAAACAAATATTGTACGAAGCGATAAACAGGCGATGATCGCACCGGTGTTTTAACCGCGCGTGGAACTTTACTCTAGATCTAGAATCTTGGCCCAGACTACTTATTACTTTACTTTTACATTAACTTAATCATTAAGCTAAGAAAGAAGCTTTTATTTAACTTGCTTTCTCATCCTGTCGTCAGTCTGTCTAGATCGAAACGGCCTGACAGATACGGTTTGTAATTGGTACGTGGCCTACGTGGGTCAAGACATGAAATGAAGACAATGCATCATGACATTCAATTTGACTTAATTGGTCGCCTGATTAATTTTTTATGAATTAATAAAAACTAAAATTTGACCAAATTAGTAGACCCAGATTTATCGAAGTGTCTATTCACAGTCGACTGTGAATAGCCGTGGTGGGGCTATTCACAGTCGTATTCACGTGACCATTTTTGATAGATTTAATGTTAAAAATACCTAACTAGGCATGAAGATGTGTGATCGAGAGGTCATTGGGAGTGGCTGCCGTGCCAGAAGGAGTGGGTTCAAATCCATTAGATTAGATGCCCTATTTCTATGACTTAATGTACGCCTCTCAATCTTAATATCAAAGTATTTTTTCAGTTACTTAAGTTACTCATCGAAGAGTTACTTTTGTTAATTTTTTTGTGATGTAATTGTTGGCATATCAGCAAAAAAAAAAAAAAAGAGAGAGAGAAAAACACAAAAGTGTGATGGAAACTCTGAATTATAGCTGATGAAAAAGGACATCTTATTTCACCTGATATTTATTCTATGTGATAATGTGAATTTTTAATGATAATTGTTAAGTGAATAGCAATGTGAACAACCAACTAAATTTTTCGATTAGCAACCCCCCCCCCCCCCCCCTCAAGATTTCCATTTGCACCCCGCCCCTCAAACTTTCAATTGCACCCCCATTTTGGTGCCCCCTAAGGTCGGCGCCCGGGGACATATGTCCCCCCCTCGCTACGCTACTGTCTATGACCTACGTAGCCTGTAGCAGATATGTCTGATATGAGCCTAAAAGCTAAACTAAACTTTAATTGTAATAACTTTTTTATAACAAATTAAAAATAACACTGCTCTCTTAATCTATACCTCATTCCCCAGTCACAATAAATGCTTTTATTATTTTAAGATATTATTCACAGTTGTATTTAGCATGAAATGACAGCCGACTGTGAATAGCCGTATTGGGGCTATTCACAGTCGGCTGGGAATAGCCCCAATATGGCTATTCCAAACCGGCTGGGAATAGCCTTGGCCTAGATTTATAACGAATATTGAGTAGATGTATTTGTCATTTGAGTGTGAACCACCATCTCCGCTTGGCATCAAGTAAGTCTACAAACTTTAACAACATTAATCATTAAATCAGTCATCATTAACTTTAACTTAACAGTACAGTTTCCTCAGTTTATGACTTATCTCACTCTCACTGCTAGATATCTAGAACTGATCTATTTTCTAGATCTAGATTACATCTAGAATCTATTGGCTGGGCTCGGGATTTCTATTCTAGACTTGGTTCTTCTAGATCTAGAATTTCTTTCTATATGTTGAATTATTTTGAATTTAGGTTTTAGATCCTACTAATTGATTGAACTTCTGCTCTGCTAGTAGATTCTATCAAATTCTGTAGTATCTAGATCTAGGCCTAAGTAAAAGTTTATTTTACAATTGTGCTTTTTCCCCTCATTCTGCAAATTACCAGACCAGCTTGGATCAAGAACAGTTAAAGTTATTACTTATGCTGATATTACATAACTAAAGTAATTTTATGAGAAGCTCATGTCCAGAACACACACCTAAATAAAAGATATTTTAAAGTATAAATGAATACACAATGTATCAGTAATGTCAACATTGGATAAATTTAGCAATAACCACTTCACAATCATGAAATACACAAAATTAATAAAAATTAGTTAACAATTACAAAGCATAAATAATTATATTAAAATTTTTGTAATTGATTATGCAAATCTATAAATGTGTTGTATAGCATATACTAGATAAGAACAATAATATTATAGCTCTTTAGATAATTGGGAACAACAAAAATTATAATTAAAATATCATTTGCAGGTTTGCTGAGAAATGGAGTTTGCAATACCAACATGTAAAGATGAACTGCTGAGCAGAAGAGATGCCAGGCATTATGTGGTTGAAGACTTGTTCACGGTTAGGCAAATAGTGCCAGCAGTTCAAGCATTTAAATCTGCCTGCCATGGAAACCCTAATTGCATTGTTGAACATTTTGATACACTTTTTAGTGTACTTTGGTGAGTTGGAATATCAGAGTATTATAAAATTTATTTCATCTTTATATGGCCTGCAAAGGAATGTAAAATTAACAAGACCCTTGGAGATCTATATATACATAATTCTCTTCTTGGGGACCATAGAAAACACCAAGCAGTAAGCGCGCCTAGCAGCCCCCTCTCTCTTCCGCTCTAGGCATACCCCTACCACCCCCACATGGTCTGGTGAGCTGTGGTTCACGCTAAATGTTTACAATTGTAGAGCCAGGGTTTAGTGACGTCTATTAGGGGCAGATAATTTAGTTTGAAACTATTTTAAACTTAGGGGAGGTAACTAAGAGGAGGCTGCTTTCATGGGGGGGTGTAGGGTAGGGGTTGGGGAAAGGAGGGTGGGGGGGGGGGGGTATCGTCCTTAACAACCTACTGATTGTGTTTTAAAGCAAATATTTTCAGTGGCAGCATTGGTAATGTTGAATTCACAAATTATGAATTACTGAAAAGTAGAAAATAAAACAACTAAATAGCGGCATGTGATACGCCGCGGGTCCGCTCGTAATTTATAATTCATCGGTTTCAATTACCTTGGCAATGGCATATTGACGAGATAGTGTGGTTAGCAGATGTGAGTCAGGTACCCATCAGAGCTGGGTAGACTCAGTGGATATTCTACAGCTGAATTAAGTCTAATGTTACCTGTTAATTTCTGAATAAAATGTCTTCACTATTTAAATACCAGCTAAACTAAAGATGTTTAACATGCTTTGGTCCTTTTACAGTATTTTTATCTAGGCCTACATCCTAACATACACATTTTTACATTCCAAATTATACCTTAAAAAGGTTTTCTCAATTTTTTAAACTTGACAAGTGTTTAACATAAACAAAAACAATACATATTAAATGTATCTTTTGTTCATTTTCTTGGCCAACTTTTTTTTATAGTTTGCTAAAAGATGTGGATACAATAATAAAAGAAGACACATGGGTTCATCTACTCAAAGGTGGGTAGAAAAAGAAAACAATGTGCAACTTTAAATTTATACATTTAAAAAAACATTTGTTATTGCTTTACCTCAGGAACAAGGATATAATAATAATAATTAATAACAACGAAGAAAGAATGTCATTTCAAAATGATTTTTTTACAGGGTGTAAAACATTTTGTCGGAGTCTTTCATCTTTCCTCGATCAGTCTGACATCAGCAGAGAGGAACGTGTGAGAAACTTGAATGCACTAAAGATGGCCTGCTACTTACTCTGTCAGTTTATGGAAGCATTTGATGGTGAAGCTACGCAACCCAGTACCGTTGTTGTTGGAAAAGTATTTATACATTATCTTAATCAGTATTGTACTTAAAATACATTAACTGTTATTTTTTAATGTGTAAGACTAATAGTTAAACTCCAGCCTAAGCTAGAAAAGTTAAGATTACTTCTAGTTAATTAAGAAACCCCTTAGCTTAAACAGTTGCAGCATATTATTTAGAAATTAACAATTTCACGTATTAAAATAATATTTTATGATTGTAATGTAGGGTCGAGGGAAGAAAGCCAAGCCTGTAGCCAGCAACATGAATATGGATTGGGACTCTGAGAAGCTGCATGGTGTTGAGGTGCTACTCTCCTTCATCGAACTATCTCTTAACAAACTCTGGGATCCACCTGTTGCAGAAGAAGAATTTGTAAGGTATGTACTGTTGGGCTAGTGTTTATTCTGTGTCCAACTAGGACTTCAGCCGTCCTGGTTGTTTCTTCAGCTGTCTACAGTAGGAATCCACCTTTCTTGTGTCACTCAGGCTTATCTTGTCCAGCCTCTTTTTCTCAGTAGATTTTTCTTCTGGTCATAGGAAGACAGGCCTTTACCTGGAAATGACATAGTGGTCTAAGCAGGGTTGACCTGTTTTAAATAATAAACTAACTCTTGTTTGTAAGAATGACTACAAGGACAGTAACACACCTTATTATTTTACTGTCCTTTTTAATGTTATTTTATGTTATGCTGCAGTTCACTAATAGATTCTGTTTAGCAGAATTTTGTACTAGTTTTAAAAAAAAAGGTAATACATGAAGATAATAAGTTGAATCCTTACAGTTTAGTTAGTACTTGCTGCTACAAGCTGCTGGAGAACCCATCTGTGACTAAGCTGAAGGATGTCATCACAGTTATAGCTCACATCCTGGGGAATCTGGTCAAACGCTACAATCATGGACTGAGTATGGAGAGTTTTTTTAGTTTTAAAATCAAATAAAAATGCTAGGATTTATCAACTTTGCATGCCCGCTTGTTGAATATTATCCCTCATATTTAATCTAGAGCATTCCAATAATATCTCAGTGTTGGATATCCATATAATCTTTTGTTAGCTAATGATCTATCACAGAGAAAAGTAAAAAATTTATTAAACTAATATAAATACTTTTTCTGTTAGGTGCAAGTGTAAAGATTGATCAACTTCTGAAACATTTTGAGTTTTTAACGCCTTCACTTGTACAGATTGTAGAGGTAATGGTCACTAAACATGGATGCAAGTCCATTATCACAGAAATTCTCAGGTAAAAACAAATTCACTTAAAAATATTAAACAAAATGTAACATCTAAAATAATGCTTTATTGAGTTGTAATCATGCATGTTTTATTTAGTCTACTTAATTACCACAACTCGGTCATCATTTGCTTGATCTTAACAGAGAAATAGGTAACTCCGACACAAAAGAGGCAGCAAAAGACACAACTGCAGCTAAAGCATATGCTTCATTTTTAGTGGAGCTTTCTGAAAAACTGCCTTCCACTGTGTTGCCTTCAGTTTATCTGGTCATTGAACTGCTGGAAAGAGATGTAAGTTCTATGTTAATCAAACATTTTGCTTAAAATCATGCTTTCATGATTTATTACTAAATAGTTCAATTTTTACTACATATACAAATTTTAAACAATTCCTTTTGTAACATTTAAACAACTTTTGCATTAGACTTCAAAATTTATACTTCTTAATTTGTCTTCAGTCCTACACATTGCGTAATGGAGTTCTTGGTATGATGGGAGAGATCATCACAAAATATCTCAGCACAGATACAGTAGATGAAAAGCTGCGGGTTACCAGAGATATGTTTTTTGATAAGCTGGAGGTTTGTTATTTGTTAATTCTAAATGTATGCTTTATAAAAATCAGTCTTCACATAAATATGTGGACATTTTAAACTCATTTTCCTAAGTTTAAACTTGAAATTCTTTTAGGACCACATGCATGATACAAATGCCTTTGTCAGGAGCAAGGTTCTACAGATATGGCTAAACATTGTGACTGAAAAGGTGAATATAATGTTCTGTTTTTAATTAAAAAAAACTTACTTTAAATAATCTGTAGGAAATGTACTTTATTTTAATATTATCTCATTACAAAGCGTAGGTGTCATTTTTATGTTGAAATATTGAATACAAAAAAAGCTTGGTCTATTATTTGATTATGGATTTATAACTCTACACTTTCTGGTCCTTCCCTAGTGTCTCCCGCTGTTGAGACAAGAGACGGTCATGACATTGGCAGTTGGTCGGCTGAATGACAAGTCCAGTATTGTCAGGCGTCATGCCCTACAGTTGATCACAACCCTCATCAAAAGTAACCCCTTCGCCTCCAAGGTAAACTGTTTAAGCCTTTAGCATCCAAACTAAAACACAGTGGCTAAATATTGATAATTAACAGCTAGAATACACTTCACTACCTTTGCTCTGACGTGTGTACATTAATCTTTTTTCAAAACGTTTTCAGTTGCCTGTTGAGGATCTTAGAACTCACTATGAAAAAGAAAAGGCACAGTTAGATGAAATGGCCCCTAAAGTAGAAATTCCCGTAACTCCCAGGCCTGTTGATGATAAGGTGACTCTGGACTGGCTGACCATTGAAGAGCAGTTGGTCAAGGGCATTAAAGCTGCTTTAGCTAGCATCAAGCTTGATGAATTGGCTTCTGTCATAGGAGAGGAAGACACATCTGATGAGTAAGTTGCTTTATGTTAATTTATTTGGTTACCAACAGTTTAAGTGATATAGATATGTCCGAATGGAGATACATTTTATTGTTTTATTATTCAAAGATGTTGCACAAGTTACAGTTGGATTAATTTTTCAGAGTGCTCGGGAACATAGTGAAGTACCTAGAAGGTGGGGAAGTAGTAGAAGCCATCACATTAACCCTGGCTGCTATGGAGAGCTTCCCTGATCTGCCTGTGTTTGTTGAACATGACAAGTGAGTTGTTTATTGTCATCACTTTTAGCACTTTTTAGTATTCATATACGAAATGAGGAGCAATAGTTTGCTTTATTTGACTCTTAGTAAACACAAGCATTACTGTAAAACACTAAGTTAGACCTATAAATATTTCATAACCTTCTTTGACTCAAACTAATGGTTGTTGAAACTACCTTTCTGGTAGCTAAGTTCCCCTATCAGACATAATGATTCATAGGGAAGATGAAGCAGAACTCATCTGTTTAGTGATCATGGCATATCTAGTGATGGTGTGGTCAGCACTATGTTCAGCTGACTTGAGTCAGGTTCTCATCTTAGCTGGGTGGACTATAGAGTCAGTGATACAAAATTGTGACTTTCAGGTTATCAGTCAAGCACTCTACCAATTGACCACTCCATCCCATACCTTTCTGATACCATGTAATTTTCCACTTTTCTAGGAAACCAAGTTCAGATGATGAGGCTGAAAGCACTGACAACCAAATGGACACCAGAAAAATTTTATCCTCACTCAAGGAGGTGTTTTTTTGTAAGGCTCTTCCTCATCAGATTGTTTTTTTTTTTTTTTTAAATTTCCTGTTTCTCCGGTACATTTATTTTTTTATTTTGAAAAAAAACCCACCTCAACAACAAAATATGTCAATTACTTTTTAACTTTTTGTTTTCAGGGGTAAAGCGCCCTCTTCCACTTCAAGAAGTAGATATTTCATCAAGTGCTGAATCTGACCAAAATAATTCAGAGCTCACTAAGCAGCAAACACTTGTCCAGTACCTAAAGGTAAACAATGCTCAGTTGTTTTACTGTGTTACCCGTAGCAACCTTTATTTGATAATATGTGTAACTTATTTGATTTATAACTTGCCTAAAATGGGTTTTCACCATTTTGAACATTGTTTTTGATCAATATTGAGTATAACCATAGTTGATATTTTACAGTTAGAAAAATAAAAACTTGACAAGATTCTTAACAATTTTCATTTCAGTGATATACTCAGTGATATAAAAATATCTGATATATTTGACATGGCTCTATATGTGCTTGATTCAAACCTATGATGATTGCATACTACTTTATGATAGAAAAAACTTAAAGTAGAATAACTGGGCTATGTCAGGTTCTAGAGAATGAATGTTGCATCAGACGTAGCAACATGACTCATCTAGTAAATCATTAACCTCTGTAAGATTTTTGTTAAGTTGCTTGTGTAAATAGCACTTTGTTATAGTTATAATAATAAAAGACTTAAATACGCTATGTCTTGTTGCCTGATTTTCAGAATTCCCTGAGTTTTGCCACCCAAGTGCAGCAGTGCATCCCCATCATCTGCCAACTTCTCGGCTCAAAAAATACAAGTGATGTTTTCGAGGCCATTCAGTTTTTTGTTGCAGCTGTCGAGTTTGGTGTGTCTTCTGCCATTGTTGGCATTCGCAGGATGATGGTGCTGATCTGGTCCCAGGAAGCCACAGTTAGGGAGGCTGTTGTCAATGCTTACAAGTCACTCTATTTAGAATCAAAAGAGAAGAATCAAAAGTAGGTTTTGTTTTTAACATAATTCTTAACCGTTTCTGGCTATGCTAGACAGCTATCGCTTTTTCTCCAGAATTATATATAGTACTTTCATTTCCAATAAGTGATGTGTAATGCAATGTTGGTTTGTTGAAAAGAATTTCTAGTTTTGTATATTTAATTTTAGTTTAATTACCTGATAATTAAATTTGAAGATAATTATATTTCAATGTCTTGTTAATATGGCATATCAATCCTATATTGTTGATCCATTTGTCTTAGATCTTTTGCCTCAACAATTGTTAAAAATCTGTCAAGCCTGCTGGCAGGGTCAGCTTACAGAGACCTGTTATCTTTAGAAGCCATGGTAAGTTACATTTTTTTTTAAATGACTTTTCCCACTTTTTCTTTCAATATATCATAATATAATAATGTAAATTATGTTTTCAGGCAAACATATAAACTGTTAAAAATTATTTGATCCTTTCTTGGTATTCAGGTGTGTGAGTTTGTCAAAAGCGGCCATATTGGCCAGCATGTGATCAAGGCATTGTGGGAAAGATTTACCATGAAAAGTGAGGCTTTCACAGCTCAAGATGCCAGGTGTGCTGTCCATCTGATTGCCATGTGTGCCCAGTAAGTTTTCAGATATGTTACAACTGTTTTTTATTCTAATCCATGTGTCTGTATATTTTTTATCTTAAATATATGTAAACTTAATACCTGATATTTGTTTTTCAGGGCGGAACCTAACATTATAAAAAGTAACGTTGAGGTTCTAATCCAAGAAGGGTTGGGCCCTCGAGCTGACAATGACTATCTTCTAGCCGTAGGAACCTGCCAAGCTTTGCTCAAACTAACAGTTTCAACCAAGGTATTTCATCAGGACATCTTTTAGTGGCTTTGTTTATTTAGTTAGAATCTGTATAAGCAACCCCTTTTATGTGGTGATCTGTTTAAGAGACCCCTCTTATGTGGTGATCTGTATAAGAGACCCCTCTTATGTGGTGATCTGTTTAAAAGACCCATCTTATCTGTGTCTTTTATCAGGAGAAGGGTAAGCCTGCAGCAGAGCCCCTGCGTTTCCCACAGGATCATGATCTGTTTGAGAGGTTAAAGGCCATTCTTCTGAAAGGTATGTAACTATTCAGTCAGTACATTAACAGCCATAGATAACATAAATATATTAAAGCAGTAAGAAAAACCTCATCTCACATATACTTAATGTATGTATGATGTAACTTGTAAAGGAGTGAAAGACACGAGCAACCAGTTCTGGGTTCCACTGGCCGAACAAGCTTTCACCATCATCTACAACCTCTGTGACACGCCTGATGTTGTTTGTGCTGATTTGTTGACTCAACTTTTGAAAATTTTAAATGAATGTGCTGAGGTGACAGCACCAAAGACAGAAGGTGATGATGGTAAGTGACGACATGTCAGTTATCTTTTTTATTTGGTTTAAGAAGTTAGTCAGAAATTTAATTTAAAACATAGCTAACAATTTTTTCAAGAAAAGAATTATAAAAATAGTCATTTACTTTAATAAGTATCTAACACTTGTATATAATGAATAAAATACAATACTTATATATTATTATATATATTAACAGAGCCTGAAGTTAAGTCTGATGTAGTGTCGTGTGTTCTGACAAGAGTTTTGGCGGCCGCTGGCTTAGCTTCTTTCCGTCAGATGGTGTTTCTCGAGGATGATGTGCTGGGGGAGATGAAAAGAAGGTTGGCAGTCACTGAAGAAAACAAAAAGGGAGCCAACAGAAGAAAAAGCAAAGGAGGGAGTGATAAGGTACATAGGGATTTGTTTCATTTCTTTCTTATGTAAATCATTTTGTTGCACGGTTTATGTAAGACCATTTTTGCCACAAATTGCTACTTTTAATTTTTTTGTAAATCCCTAATTGACAGGCGGCTGAATTAGAAGAAGATATGGCATTAGCTGGTGCATCTGCTGAAGATGCAGAAGCTGAATATGTGAAAAAAGTATGCGAGGTTGAAATTCTTGGAAGTGAGTTGAATTTGTTTGAACTAATACATTTAATTTATAATATAGAGTATAGAGCTACTTGTTTGCAACAGTTCTCATTTTTAATTTTATTCAATTCCAATTTAACTTATAATGCAGAAGTTTGAAACAAATATTACCTATTTTAACAAGTGGAGTGTAAGTTATAAATAGTGTACGAGGAATGTATGTGTCACAGCACTTTCTGTAGACATATTTGCCTCTTTTTTTTTTGGTTAACATTAATGTTTATAGTTATGTAATGCTGAATATTGTTAGATATACTTGAAAATGTTCTTAATGCTTTTTTTTTTTCAGATGAAAACTTTTTCAGTGCCTTCCAACCTTTGATAGAAGGTGTTTGCAGAAACAGTGCCAAGTACAACGACCCAGGTCATCAAATAGCAGCAGCTTTTGCCCTCTCCAGGTTCATGATTATTAGGTCAGTGAAAAAAACATTTTTGGCCTTCATTTCATGTTCTCTGCTATACATTGTATGTTTTATCTAAATACTTTTTTTTTACAGCCATATACATTTTCTGTTTCGGCTATATACATTGTCTGTACTCAGCTATATCCATTGCCTGTTTCAGCTCTATACACAGTCTGTCAGCTCTGTACTTTGTCTGTTTCAGCTCCGAGTTCTGTGAATCCCACTTGCAGCTTCTGTTCACCCTACTAGAGAAGTCTCCCCTTCCAACCATCAGAGCAAACCTTATCATTGCCTTGGGTGATTTAACCATTCGCTTCCCGAACTTGGTGGAGCCCTGGACATCACATCTGTATGGCAGGTGAGGAATGGCTTCCCTATTACATCTTCATAAACGCCTGATTAATCTTAATTTAATGTGTAGATAATTAAAAATAAATTTAGACTTGGTCCATCATTTACTGAAGGGCAACTTGAAGGGCAACTTAGTTTCCACTTTGTTTCATGGGATTGAGTCATTAGAACAACCTTAAGTCCACAACCATCCATTCATATGCAAGGTTAAGTAACAGATCAGCTCTGCCTTGTGGATAGTCTGATAGTGTACTTCTGCACATCAGGTGCATAGTACTTTGATATCAGAGGAATAGATGGAGAATATTTATTTTTCCATTTTAAATTTAGACAAAGGACTATTCTAAGATCACAAAAATACTATTCAGATAGTCATCAAAGAATTAGTGGGTACTAATTACAGACACATTGATTTCAGGCTCAGAGACGACTCCCCTTTTGTTAGGAAGACAACTTTACAGGTTCTCACACATTTGATTCTAAATGACATGATCAAGGTCAAAGGTCAAATCAGTGAGCTTGCTACTTGTATTGTTGATATGAATGAAACTGTGTCAGCACTTGCTAAACTTTTCTTTCATGAGTTTGCTAAGAAGGTAAAAACTGGTTTAAAAAATATATTGATATAATGTTTACCATAAGTTTTCATTGATGATTACAATTAATATAATTGTATTTTATTTTATATTGATTTTTTTTTAAAGAAAAAAAATATCCTACGGGCCTACTTTTTTGTGCAAATTAATTAAGTGTTGAAGTAATTAAGGGTTCAAGTAATCAATTGATTTTGTCGCTGTGTAGGGCAACTCTATGTACAACATGCCCGACATCATCTCACGGCTCTCTGACCCAGATACAGGGGTGGAAGAAAATCATTTCCAAATTATTATCAAGTAACTTTTTCATTTTAATTTTTAAAATTATCTATTGTTTCACTATAGTCTATAAAGTTTCTCAATTTATGTAAGCTTTTCACTTAAAGTAATTTTAAAAACTGTTCTACAGGTACATCTTTTCTCATATTGAGAAAAGTAAACATTGTGAAAGTTTAGCTGAGAAACTTTGCCACAGATTCAGGGGTACACGGTTAGTAGGTTTTGTACTTTACTAATAACTTATTTTGCTGTGTGGTATGGGTTACTTTGTTTAACTAATGCTTACAGCTAGTTTTCAGTATTTATTATTTAACTTTTTATTTTTCCAGAACTGACCGGCAAGTCCGAGATCTTTCCTTTTGTCTGTCACAACTGAGTTACTCAGAGAAAGCAATTGCCAAGCTTTTAGAGAACTTCCCTTGCTACGCAGACAAGCTGGTTGACAATGATGTGTATGGTCATTTTTGTCAAATCATCAGCAAGTCTAAACAGTTCATGCGACCAGAAGCAAGAGTATGTTGCATCTTGAGAATGCTTTAATTTCTTATCATTCACTACCTTTTATCTACAAATACATCTTTTACATTAAAATTAAACAAATTCACATAATTTTAACCTTTTACACATCTATTTTGTAACTAACTTTATATAATATTGAATTAGGCAGCTTTGGAGGAGCTTGAAAGTAAGATAGAACAAGCTCATACTAAAGGTTTAGAAGATGGTGAAGTTGTTATCAAGGCTGCAACTACAAAAACATCAGTATGTGTCAAAGGTAAAGGGAGAGGAGCCAAAACACCAGGTTCGATAACTCTTGGTACTATTTAAATAAGTTGTATTTTAAATTCTTTTTAGGTATTTACATATTTTTAAAAAATATTTTAACCAATTTTCCAGTAAGAAGAAAACAGAAAAAAGTGAAGGAGAGTGATAGCGAGAACGAAGAAGATGAAAATATTGAAAACATAAGCCCACTGAAACCCAAGAAAGTGTTGAGAGGTCAGAAAAAGGTGACCAAGGCCAGGTTTACACTGGATTCCTCTGACGAAGATGATGAAGCTTTGTTTGACATGGGGAAAGAAGGTCAGTAGACCACTCAGTCAAGCTCTAGATACAAAATCTAGATGAATTTTAAAAATTGAGTGGGACCTATCTTTTTTATCAAATATACTATTTTACACTTTTTATGGTTCTTACTGAATAGTGGGTCGGCGTGGTCGAGTCGGTAAAGCTCATGGTTGCTAAACCGAAAAGTCTTGAGTTCGAACCCTCGGGCAGATGAGGCTCGTTAGCTGGGGACAGCCGCTCTTCTAGGAGAGACAACTCCAAAATTAAACAACTGCTGCCTTGTGGTTTGTTCTTGGTTGGACAAAGGCTATGGAAGCAAATCCAAAAAGAAAAGCAGGCTGAAATCGGAGTCAATGGCCTCAATGGCGCATAAACAGTTGACACGTAACGCTTAATTGTGTTGGAGGCGTGGTCGAGTCTGCAAAAAAAGCTCATGGTTGATTAATTCGAACAAAGTCTCGAGTTCAAACCCACTGGCAGATAAATCTCGATCCCCTTCAAACACTGATAATTAAGAACGAAGAAGAAGAAGAAGACTGAATAGTGACTATTATGGATCTTTAAGACTAAGATCTTGAGATTGTTAAGGAGTTTTTAAAAAGATCTATTTGTTAAGGGAAATTAGATCAGTTAGAGAAAGATTTTTTTTTTCCTTTTACCACAGGAGAGGTAGAAAGAGATCTGGACGATGATGACAGTTTTGTTACAAAACCATCTCAGAAAAAAATCTAAGAAAGGAAAAGTACCACTCACACCTGTCTAATTGCTTATCGTCATTTAGTTTTTCATTGTACATTTAAAAAACATGACTGATGAAATTTTTTTAAATGAAAGGATTGTGAAATGGATTTATGAATTTGTAAATATTAAGTCAAACTATCTGGATATCAAAATTGTTAGTTTTCATGTCACCTACAACGCATTCATATCTACAAGTTGTTCCCACATACAGAGTATGTCATCTTGAATCTACTATCATCCCATTCTCTTTGCCTTTCTTTCTTTGAACTTCCATAATTTTGTACAATAAAAATAAGAACAAACTGATTATTGGTATTTATTATAATTTATTATAGAATATTTGTTTTATAAATACTCCACTTTGTCTTAAAACAAACTTAGAATTTACATTTGATTTTGATACACAATGCTATAAGTAGTATAACTAAACACTGTTCCATGTTTACAAGGCATAAATTCTCTGGTTAAAATGTGAATAACAACCAACAATATAATCAACTGTCACAGCTATTGATGCTTTGACAAAAGACTTGCTTGACAATTGTAAATATAACAAAAAAACTTGGATCACAATGAAATCAACAATAAACAAGCTGTAGCTGGATAACTCTACGATGCTATAGTTTGCTTGATATTCCAGGCAGGGGACCTTCCCACTTTTCACCTGATCGAAATAAAAATGTTAACAAAAATTCTAATTAGCTCGTCAGTAAGATTTCATTTTGGAGGTAATGAAACTATTTTTATCCTGTGCTAATTGCAATGTACAATAAATTTAATTAAGATATTTTAATTACCAAGTAAATCAGCAAGTACTGGGAATCTGTCACTCCCAAACACCCATTCTTTTTGGCCATTTACCTCTGTGACAATCATTGGAGAGCCAAATGCCTAGTGTATTGTGGGGCAAAAAACAAATTACAAATGTTATAGAGAGCTTTTTACAGTAAATGGTTGTTTGTTGTAAATCTCATAGAAATATGATGCAACTTTAAAAGTAGGTGTCTGCTGGTAATAATCTTTAGTCAGATGAACATTTGTTTTGCATAGAGACAATGAAATCAGTACCAAATTCAAGATGTTATTGAGATATATGAAGGTAAACAGTACTTTAACATACCCCTAACTGTATGGCTTCCTGTGTAGTCTGTTTTAATTTGTTTTTAACCTTTTCATCAGCGACAAGTTTTAAAACTGCTGCTATGTTCTCTTCAGTCATTCCTGCTTTTTTTGCTGCCTAAATTTTGAAAAATTATAGAAATTATATAAAGATTAAAAAAAGCACTTAAGTCTGTTAAAAGGATAAAAATATACAATTTTCCAAACCACAGAAACTACCGTTAATATTAGTGAGACTAAACACTTACTGCAGCCAAACTACTCTGCTCAGTTACATCTTCATCCTGTAGAAAACAATTCATCTATAAAACTTTGAAATTAAATCATGATCTTAATATATAAAAAGTAATACTTTGCAATAACTTATTAATCAATTCACAATTTTAAAGCTTTTAATCAAGCTTTCCACTGATAATGATATTTAAAAAAACACCAGAGGAATTTAGATTCGTAAATCTGAACAGCTTACATCAAATAATTAAACATGTAATTAACGTAAGAGTACAATACCCTATTCCAGTTCCTCATCCAGAGCTCTCTAGAGACTTTTTCAAGCATTTCAGGATGGGTCATGTCAATGGCTGTGAGGAACCTTTGGGCAGCAAGAGTTCCTTTAATGAACATCATCTCTGATGGGTTCTACCAGTTATTAAAGATAGTCTAAAAGTGAATGAAGTCTAAAAGCAATGATTTAGAGTAAATGTTTAAATTTTTTTATTATTTTGATGTTGATAGCGCAAGTAATCGGCTTCAAGAGAAATCCTTTGATCAGGCTGGGAGATCAGGATAATGCTCAATAACTATCAACCATCACTGACTTAAGATATCTTTCATGTAATCAAAGACAAATTATGTCATGGACAGTAGCTCCAGACCATTGGGTTGACACAAAAATGTAAAATTGTCAATTTTACTGAGAAAATCTGCTTTGTCTGGTTAGTTTTCTAACTCTTTCCAAGTTATATAAATTGTTATAACTGGGTTCTATATGTGTACCACAGTTATGCAGTGAGAGGGTACAACTACCTGATCCAATACCATCTTTCCATATCACTATCATTTGATTATGTTTAGCTATGCTACAGTATATCTTGAGACGCGACGACATCAACGCTTATGAAGGATTTGACAGAATGACATCGGTTACTAACTCTATTTATTGCACAATAAGAAATGGACATCGGACAGCTTGGACAAACGATACTACAACTAGACAACCTAACTCTAACATAACACGGACAAGACTAACTTCAATCTTCTTCCCCGGCAACAACGGAACTCACACTAAAACGTCACTTTCTTGCGTACAGCGTCACACACTCACTCGTTCAATATACGGCCGCACCATCAATCATGCGCACCCATTGCCCTAGTCAAACATGCATCATAACATAAATCATCATGAACTAAGTGAAACCCTTCCAAGTGGTTGTTTCATTTCATCATATCGTCTTAGATTTAAGTTTCAGCACATCTAAAATCACTATATATTTATTTACAAACGTGTATAGATATATATAAAATAAGTATAAAACAATGCCAAAAATTGTAAACTTCATAGAATACTAGTACAGTACTATTATATAATTACGTACCTTTGGAAATTTAATGGGTACATCAAAATACTTCCCAAGTCTTTGCACATCCTTATACATGTAGGCTCCTTTATTTGGTACAGTAGCTGGTGGTTTGTTTCCTTTAATTTGTGTACAAATAATCTTAGTTTTTCACAGGATAAGTTACAAAATTACAACTTTATACGTTAAAATTAATGCCTACAGTATTTTTGAAACTTTTGATTAATATTACTAATGACAGTGAAAGAATTTACCTGATTCATTCATAATCCCACCCAGGAAAAAAGGACGTAATTTAAGGGCTATGTTCCATCTGTGCTGATATCTGCACATTACCTAAGGATATTAGGGCATACATGCAATCATCTAAGACAATAATAGAACATAGCATTAACTATACATTCACTCTATGCCAGTATTTATGAATATTTGAATGTGCATGAACAGACAATGTGTTTCTATAAAACTGATTTTTCAGTAATTTTAAACTCATACGTAATTATTACTACAAAAGACAGGCATTAATTTTTTTTTAAAATACTTACCTCAAATGCAAACCATGTGTATGGCGACACAACATCGTAAAACAACTCCACAGATTTCTTTGACATGGTTTTTTTAAATAATCTTTACACTGGAATCAGGGCTTAGAAAAGGGGGGAGAATGTTTACACCGGTGTCTGATAATGGAATCTTCTTTAAAAAAGGGGTGTTAGGTTACTGGTAGTTAACTAAATACACACATGGCTGGCTAATGTTAATGCTAACCCTAACCCTAACCCCAACCCTGGTCCAACCATACGCCTAACCCTAATTTCTAACCATAAAATTAGTCGAGATTACAATACTACTAACAACCCAACACCCCTATTTTAAAGATGATTCCATTATCGGACACTGGTATCTATAATCATCCGCTTTTTTATAATGGAAAAGTGTGACGTCACACCATCTGAACCCCCTTCCCGTCATTACACACCATCACAAAATTACAGACCCCCCTAAGAGTGTGACAACATTTATGGACACCCCTATGCCCTATAGATAGCCCTATGGTCCTATAGTATTTTAATAGTAACAGTCAGATAGAATAGATAGTAATAGCATTGTCAACTACAATGTTGAGTAGTAACAGTATGACTATGTACTACTACTAGATTTAGTTTAGATTCTAAATCTAGAATCTAGATCCTAGACTTAAGACTAGATTTAGTCTATCATTTAGTTACATTTGATTTTAGATCTAGATCTATTAGTAAGTACTAAGTAAGTAGTAGATTCTACTGCCACTGAACTTTGAACTTATTCAGTTTCAGACAGATATTGAAATTGAATTCAAGTTTAAGTAAGACAATTTAAGCAACAATAATTATTAATTAAATATCTAGATTTGATTGATATCATCGAAGATCTATTTGGCCTACCGTTTATAATTTATAACAGAGATTTAGGCTTATGGATTTAGAACTAAGAAGATAATCAAGATTCCAGATCTACTCAATTATTATTTTCTTGTTTGTTGAACCTAAATCTGCACTTAGACAGTCTAGGCAGTAAAAAATAAAAGTAGATCTAGATCTACTTATCACCCTTATTCTTAACTTACAAAAAGGACTAGACTAGATCTAGATCTAGTAGCGGCTGGTTTGAGGGGGAATAATATTATTATTCCCCCTCAAACCAGCCGCTACTAGATCTAGATCTAGTCCCAATAATCATTAAAAAAGTTTTTAAAAACCCACGTTTTCTGATTGAACTAAAAAGTAGAAAATAAATGCTATACATCACAATAATGCAAGCGATCACTCTACTATAAGCGATGAAAAACGTGGGGCGCCGAAGTAAAAGTTATATTACTATTGATTAGATAATACTATTGACTTTTATTAGGGAGCTTGTAGAGAGTCAACAGTATTAGAAACTGTAAGAAAATCACGGCGCCCCACGTTTTTGATCGCTTATAGTAGAGTGATCGCTTGCATTATTGTGATGGTTAGCATTTATTTTCTACTTTTTAGTTCAATCAGAAATCGTGGGTTTTTTAAAACTTTTTTAATGATTAATATTTTCTACTTTTTAGTCTTTGTCTGTTTGTTTGCATTAAAATCTTGCTATCGATTTTATCTTTTCACTTTTTTTTTTTGGGGTAAACGAAGACAACTCGTAAAAAGACAACTCGTAAAAAACACGTTGTGTGAATACGTTACTGACTAGAACACATAGATTTGAACCCGTGTCGAGTGGGATAGCAATCGTGTGCCCAACCACTCGACCATATCGTCTCCCCCATACTGGCCACCAGTTGTTACGGTTGTTTGTACACAAACACCGCGTGAACACTAGTCAGTAAGCAAAAAGAGGGAGAGTACCGAACCTTGTTTTCATCAAATTACAGTTACTGGGTTATGTCCCTTTTCCCCCACGTTTTTACTACAATTATATAGCGCTCTAAAATGCTCAATAAAATATTTCCATGGATCAATTTAGTAATAATAACAATTGAATATTCTATTGTCATCCAAAACAAAGCTTCCCTGAAAATTTCAGCGCGCTAGCTAACTGGGAAGTGCCAGAAATTTCGATCGCAAGATTTGATTGGAAAGACAAACAGAGACGAAAGCAAGTTAAAGAAAACGTGGGAAGAAAAAGAACGGGTGCATACGTGAGCGTCAGGGGCGGAACTACAGTGCTGCCAGACCCCGCAATGCGGGGGGGGGGGCACGCCGTTTAGGGGGCCCACTGCCGCCCATAATCATTTTTTTTAAGTTAAAATTAATTTTCTTGCATTTTTGACCTGATGGTTGTTTTGAAAAAAGAATACTGTAGCTGCGGTTGGAGTATCTTTATTCTATAGACACCATCCCACGCTCTTGTATATTCTTTTTCCTACAATCAAACACACGCTGTTGTCGGCAAAATTCTTTTGAAAAAACTTCAATTGCGCGAGGCCGCTAGATATTAAGACAGCTTTTTGAGACCATCCCAAATTTGGTACTGATGGATAAAAACACGTCGGTGCTTTGTTGTCCCTTTTAAGTTCCTTTCTCAGAACTATAGATACTGCTCTAGAGTGTAGTTTGTAGAAGGTGCAAGTTTATTTGGTCCACTTTTGGTCGTGTATTTAGGACAATTTCGAAACTAGTATATTACAGTTTTAAATTATCAGTTACAATGAACATTTGTAACAAAGCAGTAGCACTCGTCTTTTTCTACCAGTTTTACTCCGTTTAGTAGGTCTAGTGGACTTAATTACACGAAAATTGCAGTATTAGGACTTGTTATGCAACTAGCAATTAAAAAAAGGATCTATTCCAGGGGCGGAACTACCATACCGCCAGACCCCGCAATGCGGGGGGACCCAGGACGTTTAGGGGCCCAGTTCCGACCAAAAAACAATGAATTTTTTTTTCAAAAATTATGTTTTTCATGCATCTTGAAAGTGGTTTTGTAAAAAAAAAAAAAAAACAGATCTACTATAGCAGAGATTGTTGCGTAGAAAAATATTTTAAAATCTACAAGAGCAATAGTTTGAAAGGTAGGTAAACATTCACACTACTTACATGACTTACTGCCCTTCTTTAAAATAGGGATGCCCACGAAGCTGATTTAAATAGTTTTGTACTATGTACATTAAAAAGCAATTGATTCTCTGAATTGTTATTTAAATAAGACGTACTATACAATAGTATAGCTATTAAAATCAATGTTTTCAAAATTGATATTATAAAAGCCAAAAATGAAAAAATTAAACATAACGCGAGAAACCATTCACGAATCAAGCTAACGTCTTTATATATTTTTGACCAGCATATTTAGGAAACATCTCTAACACAAAATTAGTTTGGACTAAATTTTTTCTGGTTTGTTCTCTCAGAAGGGTTATATATTGCAATGAAGTAGACTAAATTACTCAGTTAGGATATAGATTATATATATATATATATATATATATATATATATATATATATATATATATATATATATATATATATATATAGGGCCCCATGTATATATATATATATATATATATATATATATATATATATATATATATATATATATATATACTAGGCATACTGCCTAGCTTCGCTTAGGTTTTTAAATAACATTTGAGAATTTGAATACTTAATTATTTAGCGATGGATTTGGTGTTGAGTGCTTTAATTTAAACAGTAATGCTAACTTTAGAAAAAAAATGTTTTAGTTTGTCATTTACATACAGTTCTCAGAGAAATATCGGAAAGTACGCAATGTATAAGTAAAATGGAATTAGAACTACACAGCTTCCATGAACAGTACATCTCATAGTTTTTATTACATTGCCTTTTGAAATTTATTTATTTATTTAATTGGGATACGTAACTAAATTAACAACTTAATTTTGTACTAAAACAAATGCTATACTTCGTCATTTTCTGTTTCTGTTTAAAATAGTATACAATTATTTGAAAAATAATAATTTAAAAAACGTTACCTCCCTTGAAAACTGAACGTATGACGTATGTCTTTTTTTTTTTTTTACAAACAGTTGCTATGCTTATATAAGAAATTACGGTATATGAACATATTTAACAACTATAATGGCTGTTTCCGACGGGATTAAAGTTTTTTTGTTAGCCTCCATGGTCGGTCTACGACGTCACATAATATTAAGGGGATCGTTCGTCAATTTATTTATATATTTATATCTCATATAAGGAGAATTTCACTCAAGATCATCTTTTAGCCCTTGTCGAGGGCTTTGAGTCTGATCAACAGTTTTTCCATACGGCCTAGTCATCTATAGTAGTGTATGCAAAAAATTAGCCAGATATACTGAGCTTAAGTACCCTAAAGTCTGCGTTGAAATGACCCTCTGTTTTTCCCATAAAATACAAAGATTATATAGGGAAATACAACTGGTCAGTTTTGACCGCTTTACGAAGTTTTTCCAGATATGCCGAGTTTTTTGTGACACCCCAAGGTGTTCTCCTACCACCTCACAAAATTTCAAGGGGGGTCGTCGGAGGAATTTTTTTTTCGTAATATAGCCCATATAAGGCGCCGGTCAGTCGAGGTCAGTTTTGACCCCCGCTCCGTAGACTTTTTGCCGAACCGTCACCGGCCCTCGTGATCTATCGCCATAAGGCACCTTAGTGCCAAATTTGACGCGCCTGCGGCGCCGGGAAGTGCCCTATCGGGCACCCGACCACTTTGCTTTATATATATAGATATATATATATATATATATAGGGCCCTAGTTTTTTCTTTGCGGGGGAGCCTTTGATTTCTAGTTCCGCCACTGATCTATTCGGTTCATTATACTAAATTTCATGTAAACAGGTTATGTCCACGGTTATGAGGAATTTTAAAAATAGAAAGCTTTGTTATATTTTTCTTAGCTCTAAAATCTCTGCCAACAAGTATCACTTTTCACACACCCGCTTCGAGCGTATGCTATTTAACTGATCAGACAGCAATACAAAAATCGATGTTTATTTCTCTTTGATACAGTGGTTCCAGGCAAGTATCTGATCTCTCATGCTGAATCGCAAGAATCGTATTAAGAACTAGTCGCGTCATTTCTTAACAAAATGAGCAAGTGAAATCGTACATTACGCGTTAATACAATTGATTTATATTCCAAGTGTTAATCGATTATCTACTCAAAGTTCCAATGTAAACCCTGCCCCATTTACCTTGGCGAAAAGTGCCCCCACCCACCAATTTTTTATATTTATTTTACTGTTGCACATTACGCTTTAATATAACAAATGGTTTATTTTCTAAGAAGTTATTTACTTACCAATCCAGTGTAAATCCTTGCGATTTTAGTCGGGGAAAAAGCGCCCTCCCCCCCCCCACCCACCCTGGACAATGTGAAAGCGGTTTTTGCCGGTCACTGTTTCTTTAAGGGTATATGTTTTACTGTTACACAAACAAGGTAGAAAACAGTTACATCAGTATGCAAAGGCTGGTAGATGTTAAATTTCTTGGCTTTGGCTGTTTTTAATTCAAAACTGCAGCTTTTAAATTTGTTTCTACCCCTTTTGGCGCCCCCTCAGGGTCGACGCCCGCCCCCCCCCCCCCCCCCCTCCCCCAGCTACGCCTCTGCGTACTGTGTGTGTATGAATTGGGTTCTTTGATATATCCGAGAACTATTATGGTATGCTTCTACGACATTTGTCGTACATAAGCCGTCTCTCTTACACTAGTGTTTATGTATTTGTCGTACATAAGCCGTCTCTCTTACACTAGTGTTTATGTATTTGTCGTACATAAGCCGTCTCTCTTACACTAGTGTTTATGTATTTGTCGTACATAAGCCGTCTCTCTTACACTAGTGTTTATGTATTTGTCGTACATAAGCCGTCTCTCTTACACTAGTGTTTATGTATTTGTCGTACATAAGCCGTCTCTCTTACACTAGTGTTTATGTATTTGTCGTGCATAAGCCGTCTCTCTTACACTAGTGTTTAGGTTGGATACGTATTTGAGTGTGGATCGTGTTGGTTGCGGAGGTGGGGTGATGTGGTTGGGATACGGTTTATGTTGGGGTGTGGGGCGGAGAGTATGGGGGTTGGTTTACTACGAGCAGGGGCGTAGCGAGGGGTGGGCGGGGGGTGCGGACCGCACCGGATGACACCATTTAGGGGGGTGACACCGAGGCAAAAAATAGCAAAATATATAGAGAAAAACTTGAGGGGGGGGGGGGTGTGCAAATCGAAAACTTGAGGGGGGTGCAAATCAAAAATTTGAAAGTTTGTCCCCGGGAAGGGTCGCTACGCCTCTGGGGAAGGGGTGACACCATTAAGTGCCGCACCGGGTGACACCCGACCTCGCTACGCCACTGACTACGAGTATGTGTTGTGTGGCGAATGTTGTGGTGTGTGATGAGCGATTTTGTAGATCGTGGGGTTAGCGGTTTGGGGAGTGGGGTTGTGTGGTCAGTGCCGGCGCCAGGTTATTTAGCGCCCTCGGCAAAACTTATTAAAACGCCCCTTTTTACACAAATTAGTTACTAAAACATATGTATAAGAAAACAATTAATTAAAAATGAGGTATTAATTTATTATCAATTGCATACACGTAATAAGTAGACATCAAAATCAAATTTAACTTGCCTCCTGCGTCGCAATAGTTTGTACTAATTCCTTCGATTCCAGTTTGCAAGCGTAATCACATTTTATTGAAATTGTTGCTAAGTCCACGAGTCTACTTTGTACTTTACGATATAGCCCCCCCCCCCTTTATAAAATTTCAAGTGCTATCTCTCCCCCCCCCCCCCCCAGAACGGAACTTACCTGTTTTAAGCTTAACTGTCTTTAGTTATAATTGTAAAATGCCTATATTATGTGATTGTGTAACTATTTTTTTGCTTTTGAAAAATAAAAGGTTATAAACGTTATAGATTCCAGCCTACAATTGTTATATATGAATCGTTTGGGAGAGGGTGAAAAATATAAAAAAGCAGTGGCGTAGCGAGGGGGCGGACCGCACCAGGTGACACCATTTAGGGGGGTGACACCAAGGCAAAAAATAGCAAAACATAGAGAAAAATGATAATTCCACTTAAGTGATTAATTCGGGTGGAGGGGGGGGGTGTGCACATTAGAAAGTTTGAGGGGGGGGGGGGGGGGGTGCAAATCGAAAATATGAAAGTTTGTCCCCCGGCGGGTCGCTACGCCTCTGGGGGGTGGTAACACCATTAAGTGCCGCACCGGGTGACGTCCGACCTCGCTACGAAACTGTGAAAAAGACAATTAATTAGACAATTAATTTGCGACTAAGACGATTTTAGATGCATTATCTCCTGATGTGTGTCTACTAACATTATGTATTGCAATCTACAACCGCTACTGATGTATTTTTTTTAACTTGCTTTTGCTAAAAAAAAGTACCAAACTATTTTGTTTAGAATATCTGTCTGCTCTATATAATTTTTACAATAGCAAATAATAACTCAAAGTTGTATTTATATATAAGCGGTCAACCTAAGGTGCCGGAATTGAACATGAATGTAAAGTTAAGCAACGAATTATCTCCCATTTGGAAATCCAAATACCAAACTTCCATTTATCAAGGGAAATAACTTTAGTTAGAATAGCTCAATTAACCAAGTGTAACTAAGACATGCTTGATAAAACAGAATACAATGCTCTAAATTTTATTACGTTATAATTATAGTAAATCTTTTATGTTATTTATGTAACCGTGTCAAAAGATATATTTCACGGATTGACTACTTAACTGTATGTTTTGTTTGAAAGTCTAAACACGGTAAATTTATTATAACATATCTCAGTCAATTTTGATGACATACATTTTATTGTGTTTTGCTTGTGCTTGAGCATGAATTTTGACTTCCTTAAATCTGGTTTCTAAGTCACAGAAGACACCCGGTGGCAAGAGCTAAACAGTGTCACCCTGCTGCCCACTGTCCACCTAGCCTACTACTGTCCTTTCAGGACAACCAAAAAAAAAAAGAAAAAAAAAAAATTAAATCTGGTTTCTCTTCACACCGAGTAATTCTTTCTCCTTTAACTAAAGATTTCCGTGCGACGTTGAGCAAAATCTAAATGCACCGAGTCCTCATCTCTATGCACAAGACACGAAAGTCAACAATGGGGTTGCGCCCATTCCTGTTCCCTCTAGGTCGAGAGATCCGGAGAGGAGCCACCCAGACTACGGTTCGGGCGGCTTAATGAAATCCTGGGCCCCTTTGATAAAAAATAATGATTGAGTTGCTCGATCTATCAGGGTCTAGATCCGTTTTGAAACGTAGGTTTCAATTCTTTGAAATGTTTAAAGAAAAACTTGAAACACCGTGTTTTATTTTAGAAAATTGCCGCAGTCAATATCGTTTCCCAACCCTCCCCGCTTGTAAAAAAAAAAAAATTCGATACATATATTCACTCGTTGAGCTGGCGATTTTTAATACAATAACTACCTATTTAATTGATACATTATATATTTTTAAATGTAAGTATTTTGATATTAAATTCAACATGCGGACGTCTAGATTGACCAGACCCCCCTCCCTCCCCAGTCCATAAAAGTCGATTTCATTCGCCCCCCCCCCCCCCGTGTGTGTGTGGACATCATAGATGACCTCTTTAATAGTGGGGTAATGTGTGGGCTGTGCTACGTTGGGTAGTGGGATGTGAGTCGAGGAATATGTGTTTTAATATGTGGTGGATGTATAGTGTTGTGGATCAGGTTGTTGGAAGATGTTTGAAACGTGTGAGGCAGTATGGCTTCAAAACAACCAGTGATAAAACGGCCTAGACAAAAGAGCCCCATCACATTGCATGCTTATAGCGATATGGTTTTTCTTTGTTCATTGAAAACGTCTAACAGATGAAATTTGTTTATAATTCAAGGATTGTGAAATGGCATTATATAATTGTATATCTGTAACTATATATCGTCACTGTCTGGAATGCAACATTAATATAAGTTATCATGCCTTTGGTGTTTGACATGTCTCTTTAAACACATTCCTAGCTATAAGCCACTTGTACAAGCTATTGCCAGGTACATAGTATGTCTACCTGGATCAAACTTCATACATTAACAAACCACAAGCATTTAAAGTCACATTTACAATTAACTATCAACCTATTTTGCAAGCCTTCTTATCTTTGTACATCCATATTTTTGTACAACAAAAAATAAGAACAAACTGATTATTGGTACTAGATTGTAATTTTATTATACAATATTTGTTTTATAAATATTACACTTTTGTCTTTAAAAAATCTTTGAAATAACATTTGTTACACAACTCTATAACAATGTTCCATGTTTACAAGGTATAATTTTACAATATGCTTAACAACCAACAATTTAACCAATTTGTCAATTATATTTATGCTTTGACAAAAGGCTTGCTTGACAATTGTAAATATAACAAAAAAACTTGGATCACAATGAAATCAACAATAAACAAGCTGTAGCTGGATAGCTCTACGATGTTATAGTTTGCTTGATGTTCCAGGCAGGGGACCTTCCCACTTTTCACCTGATCAAAATAAATTATTTTTTTAACAAAAATTCCAATTAGCTTGTCAGTAGGATTTCATTTTGGAGGTAATGAAACTATTTTTATCCTGTGCTAATTTCAATTTAATTAAGATATTTTAATTACCAAGTAAATCAGCAAGTATTGGGAATCTGTCACTCCCAAACACCCATTCTTTTTGGCCATTTATATCTACGACAATCATTGGAGAGCCAAATGCCTATTGTATTGAGAAAAAACAACAACTTGAAAAGCATTCTACAATAAAGCTATATTTTGTAGCAGTAAAGATTGGTATCATTCAATTTACTGATAGAAAAAAGATAAATTTAGCTCATACAAGACAGACAAAATCTTCCATTTAAAGTAGATATAAATGTAACTGATGCTGATTTTAAGTCATATGACCATTTGTTTTGCATCAATGCTATGTAATCAGTAACTAATTTGAGGTAATGAGTAATTTAACATACCCCTAATTCTGTGGCTTCCTTTGTAGTCTGTTTTAATTTGTTTTTAACCTTTTCATCAGTGATGAGTTTTAAAACTGCTGTTATATTTTCTTCAGACATTCCTGCTTCTTTTGCTGCCTAAATAAAAAAAACTGAGCAGAAATTATTTGAGGATAAAATACCTCAATATTTAAAACATTTGATTTTAATCAATAAATATATTTTAAATTATTTTTTTATTGGAATCTTGTAATATTTTTTATTTTTGAAACATTTTTTACTGAGTGAAGATGATGAAAGATTATGTTGGGTGGGATAAGCAGCTTCTTTGAGGAAGCTACAATAGCATCTGTTAGTAATAAACTGTGGAAATATACAAATTTGCAAGCTACAGCCATTGCTGCTAAAACTATTGAGACAAAGAACTTACTGCAGCCAAACTACTCTGCTCAGTTACATCTTCATCCTGTAGAAAATAATTCATCTATAAAACCTTGAAAATAAATGATGAAGCATGTAAAAGTGAGTATTTTGCAATTTTTGCCAATGCATTCATATTTTCAGTCAAGGCTTTAAATGAAGATTTCCAGTGATATTAAAGCAAATAATACAGAAATGAACTTTATACATTTTGAAATGTGTAAATATAAACACTATATACATTCTTTAATAGCACATTATGGCTAATTAAACTGGACAACATTAATTAATAATAAAATGATCATAACTGTACAATACCCTATTCCAGTTCCTCATCCACAGCTCTCTGGAGACTTTTTCAAGCATTTCAGGATGGGTCATATCAATGGCTGTGAGAAATCTTTGTGTTGGGAGAGTACCTTTAATGATCATCATCTCAAATGGGTTCTATGAGACATTAAAGATAATCTAAAAGTAAAGTCTAAAATCAATATTTCAGTAAACGCTAAAAATAAATTATGGTAATAGTGGTAATATTGGTTATCTTTTCTAAGATAAATATTTTGGTCAGGCTAGGTGACCAGAATAATGCTCAGTAACTATCACCCTTCACCGACATAACATACCTATCAAGTATCACAGACAAATGATGTCATGGACTAACTTTATAGGGTAGGGGTGACACCAAAATGAAAAATTACCAATTTTACTGAGAAAATCTGCTTTGTCTGGTTAGTTTTCCAACTCTTTTAAATTAATATTAATCATGACACCCTAAGAAGTGGGTGTTGTATTTCATCATGTTGTCTATAGTTTCAACTACATCTAAAGCCCCTATAAATAAAAGAACTATATTACATCCCATACATTTCTTCATTGAACACTAATAGGGGAAGGTCAAGCTATATTTTACACTGGCAAATTGTCACAAGGCCCTGAAAACCATACATGTATATAAAAAGATAGGCCTGTATAGATATATATATATATATTTACGCATACATACATTTGTATATGGTTATTTGGCCCATGAGTCTATTCGCCCTAGTGACTTCTAGCTGCACCTTCCCTACTAGTATACAATTACATACCTTTGGAAACTTAATGGGTACATCAAAATACTTCCCAAGCCTTTGCACATCCTTGATCGAGTAGGCTCCTTTATTTGGTACAGTAGCTGGGGGTTTGTTTCCTTTAATTTTATATAAATAATCTTAATTTTTATAAAGGCCTTATATAAATATAGGTTGTGTGTGACATCATTCACATGACTAGAAAGTTACACAATGACAACTTTATGTGTTGAAACTTAGCCTACAGTTTTGTTGAAATTTGATATAACTAATGACAGTGAAATAATAAAACCTACCTGATTCATGCATAATCGCACCCAGGTAAAAAGGACGTAATTTAAGGGCTATGTTCCATTTGTGCTGATATCTGCACATTACCTGAAGATATTAGGACGTACATGTCACTCAATCATCTAATATAATAATAGAACATAGATCTATCACTGATTTTTGATGAATGGTCTTGAGCTTCTAAACATCTTCATCTATAAAGTGCTATATTAACTC